TGCTAAGTGAACTTTTTTTTTAATGGTATATATTTTTTACATCATTTTTTCATTTTTGCACAATGTATGCATTTTCATCTTGCTTACATTCCCCATACAATTCCCACCCCTCCTATTTTGACTCTAATCACTCCTCCCACCGCTGCCCCCCGCCCCCACTGGTAGTGTGTCTCTGGTTTATAGTTGCTTGTTGATTTTGATTTTTACTTTATTATAATTAGTCTTTTTCCTGGTCCCTTATTTAGGTTTTCTAAATTCCTGCTATGAGTGAGACCATCTGGTATTTTTCTTTTTCTTAAAGCAATCCCTTCTTGGGCCTCCCTGGTGGCGCAAGAGGTTAACACACAACACGATGAAGCTATCCGCAGCCACTGCAGCACCAGTTCAATCCCAGGCCAGGGAGCTGACCCACGTGGCACACCAGACCTCTCCTGTCTCGCCTGCTGCTCCCCTCAGCAGTGTCTTTTGGTCCATCTGCCTGTTCTGCTCCTCACTCTGTCTCTGGTGAATCCTCTCCCCCTACACACACCTCTGGTCTGTACCCCTGTTCTTGTATGCATAAATAAAACTTTAAAAAAAAATCCCTTCCTTCTCAAGATCCGTTTGGGTCCAATACCTATGGGCAGTTGCTCAGCATAATAGACCATAACTACCTGGATGAGGAAATAGTGGGCCTGTTCAGCCCAGTTAGTATAAAGCATCCCTTCCCCACAGTCCAGCACTTGTCACCACTCCAAGAACTGGAGTGTCACATGTGCTGCATTGCCTGCCGATGCCTAAAAAATCACCACAAACTTAGAGGCTTAAGACAATACTAGTATATTCAAAGTTTAGATCAATTTACAGATTGCTTTTGAATATGAGGAGGCAGAGATTCAACATTATTTCCTTCAGGATGGACAGACACCAAATAGTGTCAGCACTGATGATTTTTTAAATCATCCTTTCCCTATTGATTTGCTAAATCATTATCATAACTCATGCTTTTTACAGACTGATCTCTCTCTATACTCTTCCACTGACCTATTAATTTTTATCCCAAAACCAGGCTCCTTAATTAGCTTCATGAGATATACACATGCAACTTTTAAGTGTGTAGTTGAATGTATTTTAGAAATGCATGCACTGGCAAAACTCCTTCCTCAGCTAGCATCTAGACACTTCCATCATCCTTCATGCCTGTTGGCAGACAACTCATTGCCCCAGCAGATGCTGATCTGGTTTCTGTCATTAGATTAGTCTTATCTGTTCTAACACATCATGCAATTCTGGGTTATTGCAGCCAGTTCTTAATAGCAGAGATGTAAACAACCTAAGTGCTCACTGATGGATGAATGGATGAAAAATATGTGATACATATTTGCCATGAAATGTTATTCAACATTCAAAGAGAAGACTCTGCCATTTGCAGGAACATAGGTGAACTAGCTGATACTGTGCTAAGCAGAACAACTCAAACACAGAAAGAAAAAAGTACCAGATAATCTCATTTACATGTAGAATCGCATAGAAGAATTACACGTTAAATTCACAGTGGTTACCAGAGAGGAAGTGAGAGAAATGAGGGGATTTGGTCACAGGAAACAAAGTTGTAGGAACATAGAATGAATAAGTTCTAGAAAAATACTATACAGCATGATGACTATAGTTAATAAATGTATTATACACTAAGTAAGAGAGTCCATTTTAGGTACTCTGACTACACACCAAAAGACAACTATGTAAGAAGATTGATTTCTTAATTAATTTCTTTTTGGTCATTATTGGTGATAAATATAAACATCATGAAGTATTCCTTACACATCCACTTAGAAAAACAAAACAAAGAACGCAGTCAACAACATGGACATCAACAGGACGGGGGAAATATTTGCAATATTTGCAATTCAGACATCTGGTAATGACTATAGAAACAGAACACATAAAGAACTGTTACACCTCAATAAGATAACCTGATTTGAATATGATGAGGACCCTGATTAAATATGGCAATCAACATGAACAGATATTTTTCCAAGCAAGACATGCAAATAGTCAATGAGCCCCTGAACAGATGCTCCCCATCACGCACCACTGGGGAAACGCACATCCTAACACCAGGGGATTCCTCTTCTCAACACCATTGCTCACAAACCAGAAAGTAGAGATGGAGTGTGGCTGGGGGCAGGGTGGGGGGGTGCAGGCAAGTTGGAAATCTTGTGCATGCTAGTAAGCACGTGCAAAGGTGCAAATACTGTACAAAACAATACAGAGATTGCTAAAAAAAATTAAAATTTTAATCATCAGCTTATCTAGGAATTCCAAATCTGGGTATTTATACAAAATAATTGAAAGGATATGAACGTGTATCTGAACACACATCGTTCACGGCAGCACATTCACCAGAGTCAAGAGTTAGAAGCCACTCAGGTATCCATTGGTAAATTAAAGGATAAACACAGGCTGGCATATGCAGAGAGTGAAATAGTGAGACTGAAACTAGGAGGAAAGGCTGGCACCTGCTGCAGCGTGGATGGCTCTTGCAGCTATGGTAAGTGAAATAAGTCAGTCACAAAACAACAGTTACTGTATGATCCAACGTAGGTAGACCAGTCAAGTTCATAGAGACATAAAGTAGAAGCAGGTTTTCCCCCGGCCACTGTGAAGAGGGAATGGGAATTGCTATTGAATGGGTCTGGAGATTCAGTTTTGATTCAGTGTAACAATATGAATACTCCAAACACTACCAAGGTGCACATTTGAAAATATGAGGCCTGAAACCATAAGGCTCCTAGAAAAAAACATAGGGGAAATGATCCTTGACCTTGGTCTTGAGAATGATATCCTGGATGACACACCAAAAGCACACCACAAGCTAAAATAAACAAGTGAATTAAATCAAACTAAAATGGTTTTCAATAGCAAAGGAAAGAATCCACAATGCAACTGACAGGATCAGAGAAAATATTTGCAAACTATACATCTAAAAAGGGGTCAATGTAAGATATAAAGATATAAAGATATAAAGAAATTGCTCATCTCAACAGTAAAAATTCCAAGTCAAAAACGCACAAAGGATCTGAATCCTTTTTCCAAAGAAAACACTGACAGGTTATGTCGGTGTGCAAAATGGCACTCAGGTTCACTAGCCATCAGGGAAATGCAAATCAATAAACAAAACAGAAAGGGGATGACAAATGTGGGTGATGTTGAGAAAAGGGAACCCCATGCACAGTTGCTGGGAGTGTGAATTGGGAAAGCCACTGTGCAACCAGTTTCGGGGCTCCCCCTCCCCAAATTTAATATTCCCACCATGTTCAGAATCCCACTCCTGGGTAGTTTTCCAAAGGAAATCCATTTCAAAGTGATGCCTGCATTACCATATTCATGACAGCGTTACTAACAAGGCTTGAAAACAACGGAAATGTCCTCCAACACATGGAGGAATAAATAAATGTGATTTTTTGGGTCCACAATGGAATATTAACCACCATAGAAGAGAAAGAAACACAGTAGCAACTGTGGGTGAAGTTGGAGGGCATTACACTAAGGGAGTGTGTGCAGAATTACAAACACTGTATGGTACCAGCAAGGAAAAATCCCCCAAATAGGTGCTCACCCCAAAAGAGAGACTAGAATGATCGTTACACAGCACATGAGGGAAGGAAGACATGGACACATAAAAGCCAAGGGTATCAAGTATCATTTAAAAAGTAAAATAAGTTCTAGACAGCTATGGTCCCGCACAGCGGCTTAGTTAACAACACAGTATTGCATACCTGAATTTTGCAGTTACACTAAGTCTTTCTCACTCAGGAAAACTAATTTAACTACATACAGCGATGGTTAATTGTCTTGATTCTGATGCCCCTCCAAACACATATGCATAGTAAGTCATACCATAACACAGCTTAAACATATAAACATGTCCATTATTCTTCAGTAGAGTAGGAGGAAAGGCATCAATTTAACATTTTGTCACCATTAAAATTTTATGAAACATATCCTGATGTGTAAATATCCTTAGGACTATTATTTTTTTAAAAGGTTTATTTATTTATGCATACAAGAACTGGGATACAGGACAGAGGTGTGGGGGGGGGCGGATGTCTGTGAGAGAGGATCCACCGGAGACAGTGGGGAGCAGAACAAGCAGACTGACTGAAAACCACTGCTGAGGGGAGCAGCAGGTGAGACAGGAGAGGTCTGCTGCGCCATTCGGGTAGCTCCCTGGCCAGTTGGGGATCAAACTCCCACTGCAGTGGCTGCAGTTAGCTCCCCAACGCCACCAGGGAGGTCCTAAGTATCCTCAGAACTATTGATAAATGCCCCCTCTAAGTTCTATTTCCCTACATTGACATTGTGATAGTATTTCCTTGAATATCATCAGGACTACCCAGATTGATCTTGAGCAGGTCAGTGAACCTCGCTGTGCCTACTTTCTCCTTTGGGAACCAGGGCAAGAGCCACACTGAGCTCACCCAGAGCTTTCAGGGCTTGGCTCATCCACACCCAGGATGCACCCACATCCCCACTGGCTCTGTGAGCTCCGTGCAGAGGCCCCGAAAGCACAGGAGGTTTTGAGGCCCTGCCCGCTGGACACCTCTGGCCTGTCAGCGGTCACTGCCCTCCCGGCGGTGCAGTTCAGGATGGAGTCAAGTTGTCCTCACCCCACCCCCAGCCCTGAGCCAGAGACACACACTGCAGAGCTGGGGGCTCACCCCACCTGCAGGAGGGGCACAGACTCATCTGAGCCAACGCCTGTGGCTCATCCCTTCCACCAAGGAAATGGTGTCCCCACTGGTGGGCTGGCTGGGCTCAGGCACTCTCAGTCCCCAGGCCTGAGGAGGCGACAGGAGGGGCAGCCGGGAGCCTTATGGGCTGGGACCCTCAGAGTCAGGCCACTGCTCGGAAAACCACTGGGAGTGCGTGAGTCTTGCAACACTCAGAGCGTCAGTGCTGAGAAGGCCACTAGGACGGACCTTCACGTTACCTCAAACTTCATCACAAAAATAAGTAGCACAGGAAAGTAAAATGCACTGATTACTTTCCAAGAATGTCATTTATTTGTTGACCCAATCTGGAAGGAAAATTAAATGAAAAGAATTGGAACATGAATGAAGGGTCATTTAGATAAATGACAAGTCTGTTAAATATATGATACTGTAGAGTTAAGGGGTTACCGACGGACAGGTGACCCTTTTTTCCTGCTTTTCAGTTCTTGTAAATGTGTTAGTTCAGAGAAAATTGGTGGTCCTTCTGTCCTTTGGGGTTTGAAACACTTTTCTTTGAGTCTCCAGAAAACTGCAATAATAACCGAGATGAAAAACGTAGTAAAGCGTAATGACACAAAGGATGTGACAATGAACCAGGAAGACTCATATTCTCTGATTGCTCGTGGGGGCCCACTGTCAATGCTTCCCCCAAGCCCCGCCAGCTCGCAGAACGGAGGGGCCCAGCCATACATGCAGTGACAGTGCTGTTTATTGTTGCAAAAACCTCGGCGGTTGCACTCCTCAGGCAAACACTCAGTCTTGAGGACTGTCCATCTCTCCACACAAGTTCCGTTAATACATATCTGGTTCTTACCACAGGAGGTTCCATCACTTATGACACCCACATCAGGTATCTCTATGGGAACCATGGATAAATGATAACCTATTCCCCAGCACTTGAGGTTTTCCTTCTCCAGATGAGTGGAAATAACAGTAGAATGATCTGGTAAATCAGGGATGGTTTTGACGTTTATACACTGTATTCTGCCACATAGTGAATTTTGCTGGCTACATTTTTCATAGGCATTCATTCCTTTAATTCTGCAGTGCCCATACTGGTCGCCAATTGTATTGACCGCCTCATAGCACTGATAAGGAGCCTCCCTGGCATCAGGTCCAAAAATGTTCTGGCATTGCATGTATCTGGACGTGCACATCTTTCTGAAGCAAATGGCTTCATACTTGCAAGGAGTTCCATCTTGCTTATAAAAGTCATCTGGGCATAAAGCTGACTGTCCATTGCAGTATTCTGCAAAGTCACATTCATTTTCTTCCTTCCGGCATATGTACCCAGATGGTCGAATGTGACAGTTATGACAGCAAAGACCAGTGCTGCAATTGGCCCCCAGTCTGAGTTTACAATTTGGTTGACAACACCGGTCTTTTTTACACTCCTCACCTGTACCACAATCACATTCCTCACCCTCTTCCACAAATTTGTTTCCACATCTCTTAACAAGATAACCTGGTTCAGGGATATTGTTTAGACAATGTGCATCTACACTTGTGTAGGCCCAAAAATCAGCATAACTACAATTACTAAAACCAGTTACTCCAGTGCCCATGATGCATGTATTCTGACCCCGACAGACGCAGTAGGCAGTATCATGCTGCATTCCTACGACGTGACCCAGTGAATGAGCAGCCCAAATCACAGGAACATGAAGATTTTTATCTAGAAATGCACTTAGAGAACCAGTAAGATTTGGAGAGCACACTTTTCCTGATCTTGTTGTAATACCAACATTGCTTTGTTTATTAATATATAAATGTATCCAGTCATTAGTAACCCGAGGATTTATATATAATTTTCTGTATATTTTCAATTGCTCTAAAACCCTAGGTAATGTGGAAACGTCAATATTTATTTTGTCTTTATCTGTCCACACTTCCAGAGCACTTAGGTGGATCCGCATGTGCACATCCTGAAAGTAAGTGTCCATAATCCCTGCCATAATAATGCCATCACTCACGACTTGGGTGAGATTAGACTGGGAATACACGTATCTGTCGTGATCAAAGACCAGGACCAACTCTAAGTACTTGGTGTGTTTGTACGTTTCCAGCATGTCCCCCACCCTGGCCTGACTGTCCTTAGGGGTCGCGGGTCTCCCCAGACCATCACCAGTCATGGCGCAGGTTTGACCCGGAGGCAGCGCCTCGCTCTTCAGGAGATACAGCACATGCTCAAAAGTGGAGGAGCCCTTGCGGGGCTCGATCTGGTAGCGTCTGGCGTCGATGGCCAGCACCCCTCGCAGGCCCCCCATGCACGTCGTGACAGTGGCGTCCGAGTCCCGAGCCCCTTCCACGGTGCCCGCGTAGCTGCAGTCTCTGGGGATGAACGGGTGGTCCTCCACGAGCTTGCCCTGGGGCGTGAAGGAGAAAACCTGCAGGTTGCGGGGCAGCAGAAGCCTCTTGGGCCGCAGGCGCAGGACGTGCCTCTTGCCTTGGATGTGCAGCAGGTAGGACACTTGCTTGGTGTGGCCCCTGGGCCCCGCCTGCAGGCTCAGCCTCTTGGGGATGGTGATCTCGTAGGAGGCAAAGCCCCAGTCCGGCTGGAAAACGGGGTCGGCGGCTCGACAGTCGAGGAGCAGCAGCGCCAGCGGCAGCAGCGGCAGCAGCGGCGCGGCGAGCCCTTGGCCCGGGGAGGCCCAGGTCCGGGGCGACCTCATGGGCGCCCGGGGCCTGCTCAGCGCGGCCTGAGCCGGGCCGCAGCCGGACTTCCAGGAACGGCCGCTGGGGGCGCCCGCGCGCCGGCGCGAGCTGCCTGGCAGGTGCAGGTGCAGGTGCAGGTGCAGGTGCGCGGGGCCGGCTGGGGGCAAGGGCTGCAGAGGTGCAGAACCCCTGGGGTGCGTTCCTGGCGGGCCGTTGGCGCCGCGAGGAGCCGGGACAAGGGGCGCGAGCAGAAGAGAAAGGAGGGGCTGCTGAGCGCGAGCGGGCAGGAGCAGGGGCAGATGGCAGGAGCAGCCCGCCAGGAGGGGCAGGGGGTTGGGGTGTGCCTTGGGGGGGGTGGCGGTTCCGGGGTGATTCTGGGTTGTGTGTGTCTTGTGGGTGTCTGGTGTGGCTGTGGAGTGTGTGGTCTCAGTGTGTGTGTCAGGAGGGTTGTTTGAGGTGTCGGCGTGTGTCCTGCTGAGTGTGAGCTGCGGGTGTGTCCGCTGGCAGGAGAGTCTGGGGAATCTCTCCTGGGGAGACCCAGGGGTCCTCGGGGCGGCTCGTCCTGGCCTGTGGGGGGAACGCTTCCCCTTCCAACAGGCAAAGCTCAAAATGGACCAGGCCTGAGCCAGGGAGTGTTAAGAAGCTGGAACTACTCACATGAGCCATGTTGTTGGGGACGGAAATGATGGAATCGGGGCTCTGAAGACAGCATGGCTGGAGGCTGGAGGGCCAGGCCCGGTCAAGGGGAGGCCAGAATGAGCGGCCGGAACACAAAATTGAAAATCCTCCCGCAGCAGCACAGCCAAGGCCATGTGGGAGCCTGGCTCTTCCCCTTCCACTTTTGGCCCCCTGTGCCCTGCAGAGGTGGGGGCTGGAGAACTCTGGGTCTCCCCCCTCCCATCACTCTCTCTACAACACAGGCCAGGACAAGCCGCTCCGAGGACCCCTGGGTCTCCCCAGGGAGAGCTTCTCCAGACTCTCCTGCCAGCGGACACACCCGCAGCTCACACTCAGCAGGACACACCCGACACCTCAAACAACCCTCCTGACACACAACACTGAGACCACACACTCCACAGCCACACCAGACACCCACAACACACACACAACCCAGAATCACCCCGGAACCGCCCCCCCCCCCAAGGCACACCCCAACCCCCTGCCCCTCCTGGCGGGCTGCTCCTGCCATCTGCCCCTGCTCCTGCCCGCCCGCGCGCCCGCAGCCCCTCCTTTCTCTTCTGCTCGCGCCCCTTGTCCCGGCTCCTCGCGGCGCCAACGGCCCGCCAGGAACGCACCCCAGGGGTTCTGCACCTCTGCAGCCCTTGCCCCCAGCCGGCCCCGCGCACCTGCACCTGCACCTGCACCTGCACCTGCCAGGCAGCTCGCGCCGGCGCGCGGGCGCCCCCAGCGGCCGTTCCTGGAAGTCCGGCTGCGGCCCGGCTCAGGCCGCGCTGAGCAGGCCCGGGGCGCCCATGAGGTCGCCCCGGACCTGGGCCTCCCCGGGCCAAGGGCTCGCCGCGCCGCTGCTGCCGCTGCTGCTGCTGGCGCTGCTGCTCCTCGACTGTCGAGCCGCCGACCCCGTTTTCCAGCCGGACTGGGGCTTTGCCTCCTACGAGATCACCATCCCCAAGAGGCTGAGCCTGCAGGCGGGGCCCAGGGGCCACACCAAGCAAGTGTCCTACCTGCTGCACATCCAAGGCAAGAGGCACGTCCTGCGCCTGCGGCCCAAGAGGCTTCTGCTGCCCCGCAACCTGCAGGTTTTCTCCTTCACGCCCCAGGGCAAGCTCGTGGAGGACCACCCGTTCATCCCCAGAGACTGCAGCTACGCGGGCACCGTGGAAGGGGCTCGGGACTCGGACGCCACTGTCACGACGTGCATGGGGGGCCTGCGAGGGGTGCTGGCCATCGACGCCAGACGCTACCAGATCGAGCCCCGCAAGGGCTCCTCCACTTTTGAGCATGTGCTGTATCTCCTGAAGAGCGAGGCGCTGCCTCCGGGTCAGACCTGCGCGATGACTGATGATGGTCTGGGGAGTCCCGCAACCCCTAAGGACAGTCAGGCCAGGGTGGGGGACATGCTGGAAACTTACCCACACCCCAAGTACTTAGAGTTGGTCCTGGCCTTTGATCACGATAGATACGTGTATTCCCAGTCTAATCTCACCCAAGTCGTGAGTGATGGCATATTTTTGGCAGGGATTGTGGACACTTACTTTCAATATTTCCAGCTGCGGATAAGCATAAGAGCTCTTGAAGTGTGGACAGATGAAGACAAAATAAATTTTAGTTTGGTCGGACTTGGGACTTTAAAGGAAGTGATAAAATACAGAGTAGACCATTTCAATCCCCGTGTTAGCAGTGACTGGATACATGTATACCATAAAAAAACTAATGTACCTGTAAAGGTTCCAGGGAGAATGTGCAATCCGAGTTATCCTGGCACTCTTACTGCATTTCACGATAAAAATTACCTGGTTGCTGCAGTTTGGACGGCTCATGTATTAGGTCACGCTCTAGGGATTTCACATGATACTGACAACTGCCTGTGCAAGGGTAAGGACTCCTGCATCATGAAACTTGGACCCACTGGCTTTAGTAATTGTAGTTATGGCGAGTATTGGGCCTTCACAATTAAAGGTGGAGCTTGCCTAGCTAATAAGCCGGAACCAGTTTCCGTGCTTAAGAGATGTGGAAACAAATTTGTGGAAGAGGGTGAGGAATGTGATTGTGGTTCACGTGAAGAGTGTGAAAAGGACCGGTGTTGCCAACCAAACTGTAAACTCAGACGGGGGGCCCACTGTGCCACCGGTCTCTGCTGTCACAACTGTCGCTTTCGTCCATCTGGGTACACGTGCAGGAAGGAAGAAAACGAATGTGACCTTGCAGAATACTGCATGGGAAATTCAAGTGTGTGCCCGGATGACTTTTATAAGCAGGATGGAACTCCTTGCAAGTATGAAGCCATTTGCTTCGGAAAGATGTGCAGGTCCAGATTCATGCAATGCCAGAGCATTTTTGGACCTGATGCCAGGGAGGCTCCTTATCAGTGCTACGAGGCGGTCAACACAATAGGTGACCAGTATGGGAACTGTGCTATTAAAGGGACCAACCGGTATGCAAAATGCTCAAGGACAAGTTCATTGTGTGGCAGGATACAGTGTGTGAATATCAAAAAACTCCCTGACTTACCAGATCACTCCATGATAATTGCTACTCATCTGCAGAAGGAAAATCTCAGGTGCTGGGGCATAGGTTATCACTTATCCATGGTACCCATGGGGTTTATTGATGTGGGTATCATAGGAGATGGCACCTCCTGTGGTAAAGGCCAGATATGTTTTAACAGAACTTGCATGAATACCAATACAATCTTGACGTATGACTGTGCTGTTAACAAGTGCAACCGCCGAGGGTTTTGCAACAATCTGAGAAACTGTCACTGCATGCACGGCTGGCGCCCTCCATTCTGTGAGGAGGCAGGGCCTGGGGGGAGCAAGGACAGCGGGCCGCCGGGGCCACAGGAGAGGGAGTCCACGTCCTCAGTGCACATTGTGTCCGTTATCATAATACGCCTCATTTTATTAGTCATCTCAGGCATTCTAGTGTATTTATGGGGGGTATTTTTCCAAAAGGAAAAACACCCACCAAAAATGGAAGAATATAAAGAACCTAGGTAGAGAATTCCAGAAACCAAAAAAGTATCAGACAGTCCAGCCACTCACTCACAAGCCATCATTTGTAGAACAAACTTGTCATTTACACAGATCTATTTTACATCCAGTTACCTACCCGACTTTCCTTCCATATTGGATCAGCAAATAAATGACATTGTTGTTTTGGGAAGAACTTTACTTTCCCAGTGTCACTTGCCTTTTGTGAATGAAGAACCTTTAAAAGACCATCCTAGTGGCTTTCTCAGCACTGAAGCTCTGAATGTTGCAAGACTCACGCACTCCCAGTGGTTTTCTGAGCAGTGGCCTGACTCTGAGGGTCCCAGCCCATAAGGCTCCCGGCTGCCCCTCCTGCCACCTCCTCAGGGCCGGGGACTGAGTGTCCCTGAGCCCGGCCAGCCCACCAGTGGGGACACCATTTCCTCAGTGAAAGGGATGAGCCATAGGCGTTGGCTCAGATGAGTCTGTGCCCCTCCTGCAGGTGGGGTGAGCCCCCAGCTCTGCAGTGTGTGTCTCTGGCTCAGGGCTGGGGGTGGGGTGAGGACAACTTGACTCCATCCTGAACTGCACTGCCGGGAGGGCAGTGACCGCTGACAGGCCTGAGGTGTCCAGCGGGCAGGGCCTCAAAACCTCCTGTGCTTTCGGGGCCTCTGCACGGAGCTCACGGAGCCAGTGGGGATGTGGGTGCGTCCCGGGTGTGGATGAACCGAGTCCTGAAAGCTCTGGGTGAGCTCAGTGTAGCTCTTGTCCTGGTTCCTGAAGGAGAAAGTAGGCACAGCAAGGTTCAGTGAGGTGCTCAAGATCAATCTGGGTAGTCCTGACATTGTGCAAGGAAACACTATGTAAGCAGAGGGAAATTGAGATGGGAGATGTCGACTAAAAGTTCTAAGAATAATTGCACCCCAGTGAATGTACTGTAGTAATTGTCCTCGTCACAGAACTGACATCAAATGTACTGACTTCAGCTGTTCTGTTGAGGAATAATTGACATGTTAATCTAATACCGAATGGACGTGTATGATGTTCTCACTTCTTATACACATGTCCTGTGGGTTGACCACCAGAATGAAGATATGTAACCATCACCTCAATGTTGAATCATTGTCAAGGAATAATGATGTTGAAATTCAACTCACAACAACTTTTACATACGCAGTGTGGTGTTGTTAACTAAGCCTCTGAGTGGTACTGAGTGGTTTTCTCTCGAACTTACCTCACTTATAGGTGATAATTGATACTCCTAGTAGAATACAGAGAATCAAAACAAACATTCAGACATAAACAAACCCAAAACCCACATGTACACCTGACTGTACAACTGAGGCTAAAGGTGGGCGAGGGGCAGGGGAGAAAGGACAAGGGGGCTGGGGGCACATATGTCTATGGGGAAGGACTTGGGGACCATGGAGGTGGGTGTGCTGTGGTAACATACTTCTGAAGAGGGGGTTCCCTGTATTTCTGAAACGTATACAGTGTTTCAAACCAATGTTTTATTTAAAAGTACATAAAACAGGGGCCTCCCTGGTGGCACAGGCAGTTGAATGCCGCACTGTGAAGCTGTCCACAGCCTCTGCAGTACAGGTTTGATCTTGGCCGGCCAGCGAGAATCCCACATGGTGCCACAGATCTCTCCTGCTTCACCCGCTGCTCCCCTCAGCAGTGTATTTCGTCAGTCTGCCTGTTCTGTTCCTGCCTCTGTCTCTGGTGAATCCTCTCACCCTCCTGCGCATCTGGCCTGTACCCTGGTTCTTGTATAAATAAATAAACCTTTAAAAAAAAAACACATAAAACAAACTACATCTGCAAAAGTAAGCATGTGCTAAGTGGTCATGCTGTCATTTAATAAATGTATTTTGATGATAAAAAAAAGAGTTAACCCAACAAGCAAATAACAAGTAAGGACATCCAATCTATGCTCAGAAAATTCCAAGAAAAAGAAGACCAAGCCCAGATGATACATTAGTGTCTACCAAATACGGAAAGAAGAATTTATGCCCAACCTTGTCAACTTTTTCAAAAAAAATGAAGAGGACAGAAAACTCTCATGCTTAATTTACTAGTCAACAGTCTATGATGCCAAACTCAGACAAGGCCAGTACCTGTATGAAATTACTGATGGAAGTTCGGAGCAATTCGGCAAGAATTAAAAATTTAATATCCCAATTAATGTCTATGCTTGCAGATGACAGAGCTTAAATGGAGAATACACAGAAGTCTGCCCTCAAACTGTTAGGAATAATAAATGAACACAGCAAAGTTTCCAGACAAAAGTTATCGTGCAAAACTAAGTTCTGTTTCTGTATTTCATAAATAAATATTGATTGCAACAAGTAAATATTGCTATTACAGTAGCATCCCAAAGAATAAAATACTTCAGAATGAATTTAACCAAGTAGGTCTTTTTACAAAGACTTGGAAACACTGGGGAAGAAACTGTAGGAGACAGCAACAGTGGAAAGGGCTGGTGCTCAAGTTGGAGGAAGGAATCTTGTGTCAATAGCTATGCTGTCCCAAGAAATCTGCATTTCAAGGTAAATCCTAACAATGGCACTTTCCACACAAATAGAAAAAAGCAATCATTGAACTTGTATGGAACCAAAGTATCACAAATATCTAAGTCACTAACTATACAACTAAAAGCATCATAATCCCTGAAATAACTCCATTTAAAAATGGGCAAAGTACCTAAATGGAACTTTTCGAAAAATAATGTATACTAGTGGCCATCAGGTGTATGAAAGTTCAGCTCCAGTAATTCTAGGGAAACACTGGTCAAGTCCATCATGATCCATCACCTCAAACCCAGTAGGAGGTTGTTAGATAAAGGCTGAAAGACAAGTGTTGGCAGCGATGTGGAGAAATGGGGATGTAAATTTGCACATCCATGAAAGACAGTCTCAGAAATTTCAGTGGATTAAGTGCATAATAAGGCAATTTCAATCATGAAAAAAATAACAAAACACAGAAAATGAAATCCACTCCTTGAGAACAGGCATGTACTCCTAAGTTTATTGCAGCAGTGTTCATGATAGCCAAAACCAACCCAAGTACCTAGTGATGGATGAATGATGTAGAAATGGTGATATATACATGAATGAATATTATTCAGCCTTCAAAAAGAAGACCTTCTCACATTCAGCAAACAAGTAAACACAGAAGATAATGCATAAGAAAAATAAAATAAACAGAATATCAGTGGACTGCATCATCTCACTTACCTGTGAAGTCTGAAAAAGGTCAATTTATAGACGTAGGGTGCAAAACACTGGTTACCAGGAGAGAGAAATAGGAAGCTTTTGGTCAAAGGGAACAAAGGTGCAGTTACATTGAATGCATAAGTTCAAGAGATCCATGTTCAATGGAGAACATGACGACCACATGTGAACTGTACATTGGAAATTTTGGAAGAGCAGATTCCAGAAGCTGGCACCACACACACAGTCTTAACCACTGAGGAGATGGGTTTCTTGGTTAACCTGGTTTTGGCAATCATTTTATGAAACACACCCAAATCAAAATATCAGATTGTACCACTTAAATCTATCTATCTATCTATCTATCTATCTATCTATCTATCTATCTATCTATCTATCTATCGATCTAACTATAATTAAAAAGGGCGTAATACAGAACACAATCAGAATGCAAAGGCAACTTGGAGAATGGAAGAAAATACTTGGAAATCAGACCTCTGTTAGGGACTAAACAAGCAGAAATCATAGAGAAAACCTATACGATAAACCAACCGGTTAGTAATGAGCAATGCACTTGAATGAAAAAATAAAAGGGGGGGATCCAGTTGAACAGGCATTTCTCCAAAGAAGATGTGCAAAGGGTCAATGAGCTCAAGGATGGATGCTCCCCATCACTCACCACTGGGGAAACACAGTCCTAATACCAGGGTATCCTCTGCTCACCCCTCAGGTGGCCACTGTCCACCATCCAGAAAGTAGAGGTGGAGCGTGGGGGTTGTGGCAAGTTGGAAATCTTCAGCACTGCTAGCAAGCATACGCGAAGGTGCAAATACTGTACAAACAATACAGCGATTGCTCAAGAATTAAAATTTTTATGGCCGTATGATTGAGGCATTCCACTGTGGCCCTGGACTAGCCACACCCCTAAGTAGAGCAGAGGGGAGTGAGGAACCTTCCATTGCCCACTGCCCCTACCCTGCACCATTCCCCGTAACCTCCCTGGGTGCTGCAAATATTCTTCTCCCTTACCCAATGCTGGGTGGGAGCAGAGGAGAACTCATGGCTGTTTTGGACTCAGAAATCCTGACCTTTACTATGGCATGAAGTCATTTAGCCATGTCAAAGATGTCAGAGAAACAGAATTAAATTCCACTTGTATTTGGGATGTAAATTTCAGAGAAACAGAGGGTAGAATGTTGGCTTTAGGGGCTGGAGGGTGGGGACAGGGTAGAGGTTTGTAAAGTGTACCAATTTTCGAGTCCTGAGGCCCCAAAGCACAGCACGGTACCTGCAGCTAGTAGGAGTCTCCTGCGCGTGCATCTTGCTGAACTGGCCATACATCTTCAACTCACCCTCCTGAAATCATGATGATGTGAGATGACGGGCCTGATATTATCTGGACCCTCGTGGCCTTCCGCAATGTACAGCAAAGCACTGTGTTCTGTACATTAACACATGCACGTTGTCACTCATCCCCAGCACAGTAGGTTACAGGCTGGTTACATTTTTTCACCTAGTTTTGTTTTTTTTTTAAAGATTTATTTATTTATACAAGCACTGGGTACAGTCAGAAGCAGGGGAGGGTGAGAGGATTCACCAGAGCCAGAGCGGGGAGCAGAGCAGGCAGACTGACGAAATACACTGCTTAGGGGAGCAGTGGGTGCGGCAGGAGAGGTCTGTGCACCATGTGGGACCCTCGCCGGCGGCGGGGGATCAAACCGGCACTGCAGAGGCTGCGGGCAGCTTCGCAGCCCAGCACTCAACCACTGGGCTTTTCACCTAGTTTTTATAAAACTCTATCCCTTAAAATGTCTTATCAATGTCCTAAAAACTTTGAAAGAAGTCATCCCACTAAATTCAATTCCCAATATGGAGATACTGTTTCCTAGAACAGTGTCAGGACTACCCAGATTTGTAATCTTGAGCATGTCACTGAACCTCACTGTGCTCACTTTTTGGGGAAGCAGGGCAAGAGTGACCCTGAGCTCACCCAGAGCTCTCAGGACGCGGCCCATCCACACCTGGAACACGGCTGAATGTCAGCACCCTGCCTGGGCACAGCACACTCGGTCTTGGGGCCCTCAGGAGGCGGAGGGAGGGGCAGATGGGGGTCTTATGGGTTGGGACCCTCAAAGTCAGGCCGCTGCTCTGAAAACCACGGGGAGTGCGTGAGTCTTACAACACTCAGAGCTTCAGTGCTGAGAAAGCACTAGGACGGTCTTTCATGCTATTTCAAACTTCCTCACAAAGACAAGTAGCACAGGAAAGTAAAATGCACCGATTTCATCCAAAGCAATAATATCATTTATTTGTTGGTCCAATCTGGAAGGAAAATTAAGTCAAAAGAATTGTAACCAGCGGAAGAGTTTTTGGATAAATCACAGGTTCGTTTAACATATGATCCTGTGCTATGGAGGAGCTACAGATTAAACAGGTTCTACATTTTAGGTTTTCTTGTCCTCTGCATTGCTTTGTCTTCTTTAGAGATAACTGGCGGTCTCTCTTTTTTAATGGGTTTAAAAAGTTTTTGTATTGCTTGCACGTAACACACAATCATTACTGAGGCGGCAAATAAAATAAGGCGTAATAACAGAAGGGCCACAATATGAAGGAAGGAAGACTCACGTTTTTTGAGTGCTCGTGGGGGCCCACTGTCAATGCTTCCCCCAAGCCCCGCCTGCTCGCAGAACGGAGGGGCCCAGCCATACATGCAGTGACAGTGCTGTTTATTGTTGCAAAAACCTCGGCGGTTGCACTCCTCAGGTGAACACTCAGTCTTAAGGGCTGTCCATCTCTCCACACAAGTTCTGTTAATACATATCTGGTTCTTACCACAGGAGGTTCCATCACTTATGACACCCACATCAGGTATCCCCATGGGAACCATGGATAAATGATAACCTATTCCCCAGCAGTTGAGGTTTTCCTTCTCCAGATGAGTGGAAATAACAGTAGAATGATCTGGTAAATCAGGGATGGTTTTGACGTTTATACACTGTATTCTGCCACATAGTGAATTTTGCTGGCTACACTTTTCATAGGCATTCATTCCTTTAATTCTGCAGTGCCCATACTGGTCGCCTATTGTATTGACCGCCTCATAGCACTGATAAGGAGCCTCCCTGGCATCAGGTCCAAAAATGTTCTGGCATTGCATGTATCTGGATCTGCACCCCTTTTTGAAACAACTGGCTTCATACTTGCAAGGAGTTCCATCCCGCTTATATAGGTCATCTGGGCATAAAGCTGACTGTCCATTGCAGTATTCTGCAAGGTCACACTCATTTTCTTCCTTTCGACATATGTACCCAGATGGTCTAATGTGACAGTTATGACAGCAAAGACCGGTGCTGCAATTGGCCCCCAGTCTGAGTTTACAATTTGGTTGACAGCACCGGTCTTTTTTACACTCCTCACCTGTACCACAATCACATTCCTCACCCTCTTCCACAATTTTGTTTCCACATCTCTTAAACACAAAACCTGTTTCTGGGATATTGTTTAGACAATGTGCATCTACACTTGTGTAGGCCCAAAATTCACCATAACTACAATTACTAAAACCAGTTACTCCAGTGCCCATGATGCATGTATTCTGACCCCGACAGACGCAGTAGTCAGTATCATGCTGCATTCCTACGACGTGACCCAGTAAATGAGTAGCAAAAGTCGCAGGAACGTGGAGATTTTTGTCTCGAAATGTACTTAGAGAACCAGAATCCTGTAGAGAGCACACTTTGCCGGATATATCTGTAATGGAACTAACAGAGCGTTTAGTAAAATATAAATGTGCCCAGTCATTTGTAACCCGAGGATTTATAGACAATTCTCTGTATTCTGCAAATTGCTTCATAGTCTGAGATACTGCTGGAACCCTAAAATTTATTTTGTCTTCATCTGTCCACACTTCCAGAGCACTTAGGTGGATCCGCATGTGCACATCCTGAAAGTAAGTGTCCATAATCTCTGCCATAATAATGCCATCACTCACGACTTGGGTGAGATTAGACTGGGAATACACGTATCTGTCGTGATCAAAGACCAGGACCAACTCTAAGTACTTGGTGTGTTTGTACGTTTCCAGCATGTCCCCCACCCTGGCCTGACTGTCCTTAGGGGTCGCGGGACTCCCCAGACCATCATCAGTCATCGCGCAGGTCTGACCCGGAGGCAGCGCCTCGCTCTTCAGGAGATACAGCACATGCTCAAAAGTGGAGGAGCCCTTGCGGGGCTCGATCTGGTAGCGTCTGGCGTCGATGGCCAGCACCCCTCGCAGGCCCCCCATGCACGTCGTGACAGTGGCGTCCGAGTCCCGAGCCCCTTCCACGGTGCCCGCGTAGCTGCAGTCTCTGGGGATGAACGGGTGGTCCTCCACGAGCTTGCCCTGGGGCGTGAAGGAGAAAACCTGCAGGTTGCGGGGCAGCAGAAGCCTCTTGGGCCGCAGGCGCAGGACGTGCCTCTTGCCTTGGATGTGCAGCAGGTAGGACACTTGCTTGGTGTGGCCCCTGGGCCCCGCCTGCAGGCTCAGCCTCTTGGGGATGGTGATCTCGTAGGAGGCAAAGCCCCAGTCCGGCTGGAAAACGGGGTCGGCGGCTCGACAGTCGAGGAGCAGCAGCGCCAGCAGCAGCAGCGGCAGCAGCGGCGCGGCGAGCCCTTGGCCCGGGGAGGCCCAGGTCCGGGGCGACCTCATGGGCGCCCGGGGCCTGCTCAGCGCGGCCTGAGCCGGGCCGCAGCCGGACTTCCAGGAACGGCCGCTGGGGGCGCCCGCGCGCCGGCGCGAGCTGCCTGGCAGGTGCAGGTGCAGGTGCAGGTGCAGGTGCGCGGGGCCGGCCGGGGGCGCGGGCTGCAGAGGTGCAGAACCCCTGGGGTGCGTTCCTGGCGGGGCCGTTGGCGCCTCGAGGACCCGGGACAAGGGGCGCGAGCAGAAGAGAAAGGAGGGGCTGCGGGCGCGCGGGCGGCCAGGAGCAGGGGCAGATGGCAGGAGCAGCCCGCCAGGAGGGGCAGGGGGTTGGGGTGTGGGGGGGGGTGGGGGTTGGGGGGTGATTCTGGGTTGTGTGTGTCTTGTGGGTGTCTGGTGTGGCTGTGGAGTGTGTGGTCTCAGTGTTGTGTGTCAGGAGGGTTGTTTGAGGTGTCGGGTGTGTCCTGCTGAGTGTGAGCTGCGGGTGTGTCCGCTGGCAGGAGAGTCTGGGGAAGCTCTCCCTGGGGAGACCCAGGGGTCCTCGGAGCGGCTTGTCCTGGCCTGTGTTGTAGAGAGTGATGGGAGGGGGGAGACCCAGAGTTCTCCAGCCCCCACCTCTGCAGGCCACAGGGGGCCAAAGTGGAAGGGGAAGAGCCAGGCTCCCACATGGCCTTGGCTGTGCTGCTGTGGGAGGATTTTCAATTTTGTGTTCCGGCCGCTCATTCTGGCTTCCCCTTTCCACAGGGAAGGCTTTTAAAAGAACTAGGCCTGAGCCAGGGAGGTGGTAACAAGCCACCTGACATGAGCCATAGTGTGTGGGGACTTAAATGATGGCATTGGGGCTCTGAGGAAATTCAATATTGATGGAAGTCTCAGGGGCCAGGCCCATTCCAGGCTCTTTGTGAGAATCAGCCTATTCATCCCTCACGGTCAGCCTAGTCTGGGGCGATGATACCCTGTCCTCATCCTCCACTGTCCACATGAGCAGAGCAAGACTGTTATTGGCTCTCACGGGGACGTCAGCTGACAGTCTCCACACACAGGTGGTTGCCCAGAGCCTCTGTTCTTTTCCAGTCCCCCTGCTGTCTCTGTGGGGAAAGGCAGGAGAGGACAACTTAAAACCACGTGAAGGAACCCAGATCCACAACTCTGAATAGCTGACTAGATTCTCTCAGCATGAAAGAGGCAAGAATGCAAAGGGAGATCCATGGTTCCCACCACACAGGGAACAGTAAGGGTCAGAACAAGTGGAGAGAGGGTAGGGAAGAGATATCACGAGGGCCCTGGGGTCTTTAAGATCCTGGGGCACCCGTGACTCATTGAGGTAGAATTACTGAAGTTTGGACAGAAGAATGGATATACCTCCTGGACTGAGAGGTCTGATATATTGGTGGATCCAACATTCTGAGGGAGAAAATCCTCCCCCAAAGTATTATTTTCTGTTATTTATTTATTTATTTTACAATGCTTTTTTAAAAAGATTTATTCATTTTTAAACAAGAGCTGGGGTACAGGCCAGAGGCGCAGGAGGGTGAGAGGATTCACCAGAGACAGAGCAGGGAGCAGAACAGGCAGACTGATGAAATACACTGCTGAGGGGAGCAGCGGGCAAGGCAGGAGAGGTCTGCCGCGCGCCGTGTGGGAATCTCCCTGTCCAGCCGGGAATTGAACCCATGCTGCAGAGGCTGCGGACAGTTTCACAGCGCTGCGCTCAACCTGCTGTGCCACCAGCAAGGCCTCTGTTTGTTTTTTTTTTAAAGATTTATTTATTTATGCATACAAGTATCATTTTCCTGATTTCATTTAGTTGTCCTTCTCTGCTCTCGTAAGCATCCCAGTAACAGTCATTTTATGTTCTTTAACAATTCACATATCTCCACTTGTTTAGGTTTGGTTCCTAGAGATGTAATGGATTCATTCAAATATGTCATTATTGCCTGTATTCTTTATATGTCTTATTTTGCTATTGTTGTTGTGTTTAGGATTTTGGCATCAAAAGAATCAGTCAAATCTTCCAGATCACTGTCTGGTTTCATGTAGGATGGACCTTTCTGTTTTATAGTCAGTCTAGAGACTCTGTAGACCAATCAAGTCTTTTCTAGGGTGTGTGTGTGTGTGTGTGTGTGTGTGTGTGTATTACACACATACCTGGTGCCTGCCTACCATAATGCAATCTCTGTGGTGTGTAATTAATCACCATCGTGGGGCTCCATCTAGTGTCTCTCTGTGGTTCTGAAGCACTGTTGCATGGTGTAAGGCACTTGTTTTCAGAAACTCCGCAACCTGGCACCCTCATTCCTGTCAGTAAGGGAGCACAGGGAAGATAGACTGTCAGTGAGACTACCTTCTAATTTTTTCCCTTCCCAAGGAGAAGATGTGAGATGAAACCAGGAGAAATAAAACACAAATGAAGATAAATGTCTGCCACATGATCCAGCAATTCCACTCTTAGGAATCTACCCAAAGGACACAAAAACACTAATTCAAAAGGAAACCCACACTCCTGTATTTGTTGCAGCACAATTTACAACAGCCAAGAGATGGAAACAACCTAAATGCTCTCAAACAGATGAGTGGATCAAGAAGAGGGGGTCTATATACACAATGGAATACTACTCAGCGATCAAAAAAGATAAACTCATGCCATTTGGGCAACATGGATGGAGCTGGAAGAGATGATGCCAAGTGAGACAGAAGGAGAAAGATCACTATCAGATGGTTTCACTTACATGTGGAAGAGAGAGAAACCCAACAAAGGGTCAGGAAAAGGACAAAACTTGCAGGCTGACCACAGATCTGAGCATCTGGTAGGAGACAGAGAAGGAGAAGGGTCAAAACAAGGGAGGGAAGAACACAGGACACGGATCACGGTGGGTGCCATGGTGGCAGGAGACCTGAGGGAGAAATCAAATCAAATCAAAATGAACAATGTAAGAAAATAAATTAAAAAATAAACTTACTTGCCAGTAGCAGTTTCTTCGAAGCATGACACAGGGTTTTGATAGTAACATGCTGCAGGTTCAAACCCTTTCTGGACCAAGGCCTCCACCCAGGAAGCTGACCTGTACCCAAGGATGCTCCAAAGGGCCTCTGCATTTTCTGACTTCCACTTGGATTTAGAAAATAAAAAGTTCAGGGCAGAAGTGGAAGAGGGAATTCATGGTATTCATCCTCTGGCTTCCTCGTAGCAAGGGAATCACTGTGTTCCTGGAGGGAAGCCTTAATTCTGAGGTAACTTGCTCTACAAGACTGTCTCCTTCCAGCTCCCAGAACCTCTCACAACACCCGGGTGCTCCAGGTGTGGTCACAGCGCTGGTGTGGCTGGAAGGGCTTCTCCACACTCACACACACACCTTTAGTCCTTTTGTAAATTAGCATCATCCGAATTTGAGTCTGCCCACACTTGGTAGTTGGGACTTGACTGGTAAAAAGTTGCTAGTTGTTTTTTAAAATTTTAAAAAAGATTTATTTATTTTTATTTATGCTACAAGAGCTGGGGTATAGGCCAGAGATGCGGGGTGGGGAGGGGTATGAGAGGATTCACCAGAGACAGACAGGGGGGCAGAACAGGTGGATTGAAATACACTGCTGAGGGGAGCACTGGGGAGACAGGAGAGGTCTGATGCATGTGGGTCACCTCCCTGACTGGGGAGCAAACATGCTGCAGTGGCTGGTGATAGCTTCATGGTGCTGAGACTAACCCCTGCGCCACCAGGGAGGCCCCCAAAGTTGCTAGTTCTAAGTCACAAGGAAACATATACTGTCTGACACACCTACGTCTACATACACACACCTCACGTACACCCTCCCTCTCTCTAAGACTTTTGCAAGCATTTGTTCTTATTTCATTTGAATGTACTGTCAGTGCCAAGCCCACCCTCCCTCCCTCTCCCCCTGCATGCGGGACAGCATATGCGGGCATTAAGGACAGTCTACTCTGAACCCAGTCCCCTCTCCTGGGGCTGTGAGAATTTTTAGTTGCTTGACAGAAGGGAGCACCAGTCTCCGCTGGCATGGCCACAACCTGGTGTCCAAGGCAGTGGTTCCAGCTGTGATGCAGCAGGACTTGACCTTGGATTCTGTGCCTGGGCGTCTGTCTCCTCATACAAGCAGGGGTCGGGATGGAGGCTTAGCAAGCGCAGGGGAAAAGGCAGCCAGAGGGCTGAAGGCACACGGCCACACCTGCTGAAGCACGTTTTCAGGGACCAAGTACTAGAGCCCCAAGAATCTGTAGAGGTGACTCCACCTCTGAGGGACTGGCACAGAGGGGATCAAACTTGGGTGAGTGGTTCCTTAGCTTTCACGCTCATTTTCATTTTACGACATTGCAAAATCCAACACAAAGACTCCAATGTTTTTTCGACAAAATTATAGCACTCTCAGGAGGGCGGTGTGGGCTATCTGTTGCGTTGAAACGTGAGGCTTTCTTCGTGGCATAACTTAAAATTGACAAAGATGATGTAGCATTTATCGGTTTCAGGTTACAGTTCAATATCGGTATCTATTACAAAATGTATCTATTACAAAATGATCTGCGCGGGAAGTCTAGTTAGCATCTGTCTCTGCATAGATGTGCAAGGATGTGTAAGATCTACTGTCTTAGCAATTTTCAAACACGCAATGTTAACGTATTTGCAGATACTGAGTAAAACTTCAGCTCTGCTAGTCTGTGCTTAACGGATGCATAGCCAGCGTTTCAGGAAACTTTATATTTTTATATATATAAAAAATTATGTCTACTGGGCCTCCCTGGTGGCACAGGGAGTTAAGTCTCAGCACTATGAAGCTATCGGCAGCTGCTGCAGCGCGAGTTCGATCCCCAGCCAGGGCACAGCAGACCTCTCCTACCTTGCTCACTGCTCCCCTCAGCAGTGTACTTGTGGATCTGCCTGTTCTGCTCCCCACTCTGTCTCTGGGGAATCCTCTCACCGCCCCCACCTCTGGCCTGCACCGCAGCTCATGTATGCATAAATAAATCAATCTTTAAAAAAAACAATTATGTCTACTGAGTAACATTAATTGATGACAATGCTTTGTCTTAGGGGGACAGGTTTGTACTTCTACGAATGTTTTACGAAACATACCATCTTACAACCTTACATGTCCATGTTGAGTAGTGACACTGCACATACATACTTTGGGTAACAGGACCATTATTAATTATACCCCCAATCTGAACGCCTACTTTAGCAAACACTGTCCAGCCACGGGAGCTCTCCATGCGGGGCTTCCATCCACTGACCCCCAGCTAGTGTAAAGAAAAGGGACTCCGTTTCATGTTGCTCCCCATTTGACAGCCGCTTTTCCCTCAAAACCATTTATTTCTGATGTGAGCATAAAGATCAAAAAGCAGCCCAGTGGTAATTGGGGAGATGCAGACTGAAAAGAAAATGACTTCTCATCAAATTGCGACGTCATGAGGTTAAGTGACTGCAAGACCAGGGAAGCAGGAGTGGAAAATAAAAACAGAAACGCCACAGAGCTTGACATGTCACCTTATTTTTTTATTTTGTGATAAAAATGCTTTCATATAAATGTCATCTTAACTACCTTTAGAATGAAACTTTGAAAAATAAAAACAAAGTGTGCATATGCCTTACTATGGCTAGTAGGAATACGCAGTCATTTATTGGTTACTGGGTTTCTCATACAGATATAGTATCACTTATAAGAGAAATGTACACAAGAGGAGGTCATCGGACCAAATAGTAACGAGTGGGAGCCTCAGGGCACAGAACATCTCGAAAAAGTCCTCAGACACTTGATGTATTGGTAAAGGCCCAAGTCCCAAAGACACCTGCCCCGGAATCATTACACCTGTGGTTCCTTCACGCAAGAATTAGGATCACAAGTCTGCCAGGCGGCGTGATGGACTGCGCTGCCTGCTCACACGGCATCTGTCTCTTTCCCCCCAAACACTCACTTCCCTCATCATCGTGTAAGTCAGAAGATGAGGCGTAATACAATTCTGAGCAAACAAAAACATCTGTTCCCAAAGGCAGACAGAAGAGTCAAAGGATTTATAAAAATAAATCAAAAATAGGGTGAGGAGGCCCCCTACGCACGGTCTAGGAGAGTGGCCCAAAAAACGTAGCCTCCAATTTGGACTAAGAGGAAGTGATTCTCTAGTTTACTCTCTATTAGATACTCTACAACTCAAGGGTTCTTAAAATCCACGAGAGTTGCTGGACAGGCAGTGTCTTCCTCCTCATCACTGGTGCGAGTATTCACAGCTTCCCCACTCCCGTCCCCCACACCCAAAGCCTTTCAAGGAGAAACAAGCCAATGGGGCTGCACTGCTCTTGGGGAGTGAGGAAGCTAGAAAAGACCTAAGCCACTAGGTGAGATGGCACGGGCCAGAGGTTGATCTGTTCAGAAGAAGGGCTGGGACAGCATCACAGAGAAGGGCAGACGTGGGGGGTCATGGTGGTCCAGGCGGACAGGGTCCTGTCGGCGGATTAGCACATGGGTCGGAGGACACAAGGAAAAGTCACCCACTATGGGAGGGGCTGAGTTGCCACATGACAGAAGAAAATCCAGAGCCCACAGTCTCTGTTTCAGGACAGAATCAACCGCCTTTGTGGGCTGATGCGCTGGGCGGCTCTGAGGCAGCCAGACTGCTGGGCTGGGTGGCACCAGGGCTCCCCAGCGGGGGCCACAGACCCTGTCAGGCAGGTGAGGGCTCACAGCCACGGCAGGAAAGATGACGGCCACTCAAACCCAGGGAGGGTGACTCAGGCGGCCCGAGCCCTGAGGCGGCCCAGCGGGGCAGGTTTTCCAGGGAGCAGTGACCTCGGGCACAGCGGCTGATCATTAGCAGACTGGGAAGAGAACTATTTTCACTCTATTTCTAGTGTTGACTAGAATATCTCCAAGGCAGTTGCCAAGATGAGAAACACAAGACTCTGGTGAGGCAACCACAACGTGACCGCGAGCGGGGTCCCCACAGCGAGCCCCGGGAGACCCCGAGGAGAGGCGGCTCACCGTGCTTCCGCAGCTGGAATGACCGAAAGCAGCGGGGAGCCCTGTGCCGTGCTGGTGGGGTGATGAGCAGGTGCAAAGGTTAAAGCACCAAATAAAGTCAAAAAATTATTAAAGAATAGCACTGATGAGAACATGGATGATAACTGTCCATTAGGATCAAGCAGGTAACTCTAGGGGGAAAAATGTTCCTGCTGAGTTTCTGTGTTAGCTTCCCTAAGGGAATGTCATGGCTGCTTCGAAAGAAAAGAAACCGGACTGGAAAAATAGCAAAGCCTGCCTCCTAATTCCTTCCGTTCCATCCTCTGACGGGGTGCCGGGGGCCCCAGAGACCCAGAACAGCTTTCTATTTCCTGCACTTGGGCATGGAGGACCCAGAGGTTTGGTGAGGACCCCTTGGGTGCACCAGCAAGTCAGATTATGGTGTGCACATGGAGGCTCGGGAACAGGCTTTTATCTCAGAGAGAGAACCCCAAGCCGAGCCTGGGATCGCCTGACGAAAGGAACACGACAGACCTGGAGCCCTGGAACCAAGGAAAAGCTCCGTTCTGAACGGCGAGGCCTGTCGCTGGAGATGTTTTCTCCCGTGGAGGTTTCTGGACGGCCAGGCTCAATGGCCAGGGGCAGCTCACCTGCACGACGGGCAGGGGAAGGAGAACAAGCTTGCTTTAGGGAACAGGGGTGCTTCACGCTGGCGGCCCCCGGGCCTGGCAGGCAGAGAGAGGACCTGGCCGTGGGAGCCGCCTTCTGCACGGGTTAGCTTCTCTGTCGTCCAACACTCCAAACCTCTGCCCGTCTGGGTTTTTGTGAAAGGGGTCACGGTAACTACACTGCCAAGGAGAAAACGTCACAAGTGGGGTCACACGTGGAAAAACAACTGACTCTGCCTCCTCTGGGAAGGCTTACAGGAATGCAGCGCTGCATGAGGGCAGAAGATGAAGGTGCAGCCCCTCAGCGAGGTCTCCCTCCCCCTCAAGACACTCAAGAGAAACGCACTTTGCTCCCCTCATTTCTGGGAATGACACTCTCTAGAACACCACGACACCTTCGGAAGAAACACACTCAAAGATCTGTGCCGGGAACCAAGACCAGAGCGAGCCCCGGGAGACCCCGGGGAGGCGGCTCAAGGTGCTTGCGCAGCTGGAATGACTGAAAGCAGCAGGGAGCCCCGCACCGTGCCGGTGGGGTGATGACCAGGTGCAAAGGTTAAAGCACCAAATAAAGTCAAAAGAATGTCAAAGAATGAGAAGACGAGGCGGAATCCAGGGCACCATGCCCGGCAGGACCCCTGGCACATGGCAGAAGCCCCCAGGCCTTAACCGCAGTCCGAGCTGCGAGAACGTCTGCGTAAAGACAGCTGGCATCGGATTCTCCACACAGAAGAGAGTAAACACGCCCCAAGTCTTAGATTCATCTTGCGTTTCCAGGAACGTGGCCTGACGGGGAAGAGATGAGCCGAGGCCCTTCCTCCCGCGCCCTGCGGACACGCAGCCGAGCCGACAGCTGTCCTGGCAGTATCTAGCAGGCAAGAGCATCGCCCCTTTCCTGGCTCCAGGGGTTTCTTCATTTCTCTCCCGGATGACCTTCATTTGTTCCTCAGCAGCATTTACAACGGGCAGTTCTGCGCCTGCGCCGAGGCGGAGCCCTCATGCGTACACCTGCATGTTGCCGCGCGGCGGCTCGGACATGTGGGTCCCGGGCCCGCGCTGCCCTCCCGCGGCACCCCCGGGGGTCGGGCTGGTGGTCACGTCTGACCAGTCAGAAGCAGAGTGGGGCGATGAGCTTGACCACTGGTCAGGAGACTCCGGGGACGGCGTCAGGTAGGGGTGCTCGCCCTGCAGGTGGCCGCTGAGGCTGGGCGTCCGCTCGGCGGCGTTGGAGGACGTGTAGCTGTGCTGCGACGGGGGCGTGGGGTATTTGCCCACGGAGGCCGGGAAAGGGTGGTAGGCGGGGAGGATGGTCTGAGCCACCTGCCCGTCCTGCTGGGGCATCACGGCAGCGGGGAAGGCCATGCTGGGCAGGCGGGCCATTTCTGGAACCTGGTACATGGAGGGCAGAGGGCCCGCGACAGCTGGAGGGCAGTTGGGCTGGGGCTGGGGAGCCCCAGCCGGCTGGGCCACACCCCCTTTGGGGATCAGCTGGAAAGTCACAATGGGGGGCAGGGGCTCTCGGGGTGCGGTCATGTGCTTCCCTTCAGGGGGCCGGCTCTGGGGGGCGACGCCAGGGTGGGCGCCCTCGGCAGGAGCCAGGACCATCCCAAACATCTCGCTGTACTGGGCGTCGCTCATCTCCACGCGGTTCATCCAGTCCGCCGGGACGGTGACCGGGTGCAGCCTACCCAAGCCCCCCACGCCGCCGCTGCCGGGGGGCACCATGTGGTGCTGGGACAGCAGCTGGCTCACGGAGGGGAGCACAGGGCCGGCCCCGTGTGCCAGAGGCTGCATCTCGTGCAGGTTGGAGAAGGACAGGGCGTGCTGCGCATGGACCGGGGCCGGGGGCGCCGCAGTGGCCAGCAAGGGGTTGGGGGAGGCCTGCAGGATTCCGGGGGACGTGATCATCGGCGAGGATGTGGCGTCAGACACGTACGTGTGCGGAGACTCTAAGGAGTCGACGGGGGACAGGGTCACCGAGCTCTCGGACAGCTGGCCCTTGTCGCTCAGGGACTTCTTCCTCCGGCCACCCTTGGCATCCTTGGCCTCCTTGGCCAGGTTCGGCAGGCTGGTGGGCATGGCGCTCTTGGCGTTGGGGCGCCTGGGCTTCTTGCCCATCGGGGTGTGTTTCAGGCTGAGGAAAGGCCTGTTGGGCCCGCAGAGGACAGGCGAGAGGGCGGAGGGCAGCACGGCGCCCGGGGGGCTGGGCGTGACGTTGTACTCGTCCAGCAGCCGCACTATGTCGTGGTGCATGCGGTCCCGGGCCACGTCGCGGGGCAGGCGGTCCATGTGGTCCGTGATGTCCCGGTTGGCGAAGTGGTCCAGGAGGATCTTGGCGGCTTCGTAGCTCCCCTCCCGGGCAGCAAGAAACAGGGGCGTCTCTTCCTGCAGGAAAGGCCCACACAGCGCGTTTTCAGCGCGTTCTTGGAAACAGAGCAGCTGCTTCTCAACTGCCTTCGTTCCGCCCCGCCTGAGACGCTTCTTTGACCGCCTCCCCACGGAGCATCGTGAAGGGCTGCTACTAAAACTATTCAGGTCAACTGAACAGCTAGTGACCACGGGGTGGGCATCTGTGCCTTGCACGTCAGGAGGCGGAGGAGACCATCTCGCCCCTCCCCCAGGGCCACTCCTGCCCGGGGAGACAGAGGCGGCCCCGGGCAGAGCTCCCCCTGCAAGAGCAGCGAGCAGGCAGGGCAGGGTGTGAGAGGGAAGCCATTCAGAGACGGGGGAGGGAGGAGGGATGGATCCAGAGCACATACAGAACTGGGGGAAACCAGGGAAAGGAAAACATGTGCAGGAAGGAACTAAAAAAAAGGGAAGTAAATGAGAAAATACGGGCTGAGCGAGACCGCGGACGCGAGCCATGGAGCTCGGGGAGAAGGGCATGTGGGCGCCGCGCTGGGCGGAGGGCGGCACACACGGAGCAGCAGGAGACACAGGAGGGAGGGAGGCGGGCATGAGCAGAGGGGAGAGCAGGGGAGAGGGCCCCACAGGGACCAACAGGACAGCCCAGAGGGAGCCCGGAGCTCGGCCCCAATGCCCCCGACGGGCCGCCGTCCCCTCCTGCCCGGGACCCGGCCAAGCTGCTCTCACTGTACCTTGTTGTCCTGCATGTCTCGGTTGGCCCCATTTTTCAACAGCAAGAGGGTCGCCTCCACATTATTGACGGCAGCTGCCCAGTGGAGAGCAGACTTTCCTGCAGGGAAAACATTTTGATGAGCAGCGTGGGAGGACATGGGCTTCCCACACAGGCAGCATCGGGCTCACGTGAGCCAAGTCACCTTCCCAGAGAACAGCACAAAGCCAGTTCCCAGGGACAGGGGGGTTTCATGGTGGGGGGTAACTATTAGCGTCTTTTGCTCTGGTCCACAAATGCTGACTGCCTTGCCTTCAGAAGACCTCTAGGCAAAGGAGCATTTGAGGGACGTCCCTGGTGGTGCAAGGGGTTAAGTCTCAGCACTATGAAGCTATCCACAGCCACTGCAGCCCGAGTTCAATCCCCGGCCAGGGATCTGACCCCCATGGCACAGCAGACCTCTCCTGACTCCCCGCTGCTCCCCTCAGCAGTGTATTTCAGTCAGTCTGCCTGTTCTGCGCCCCACTCTGTCTCTGGGGAATCCTCTCACCCCCCGCTCCTCTGGCCTACACCCCAGTTCTTGTATGCATAAATAAAGATTTACTTATTTTTTTTAAAAAAGGAACACTTGACTATGGGCACCACACCCTCCATCCAGCAGAATCTGCCCCTCACACAGTGAACAATAACCTTTTTCTTCCTTACATGCCAGATGTATTGTTCAGGGTTTCTACAAAGACCCTGAGGGAAGTCAGCTCTCCTAAGTCCTCCTATCCAGGGTAACACCCCTGGGAAGCCACACCTCATAGGCCTACTTTGAGGTCCCAGAACCCGCATGAAAAATTCCCTCCCATCTTCATATCTGCAGACCTCCTGCTGGCTCAACTATCTGAACTCAACACATTAAAAGGAAGAAGGAATGAATGAATGACTTGTAAGTGCGTCTAGATCTGACACAGTTCTTGCAGGGCTGTGTCACAGTTCCCCTGCTTAGACGGATCAGGCCTTCAGGTCAGAACCCGCCCCACCCGGCGCCACCTCCCTACCGTGGTCGTCCACGGCATTCACGTCAGCCTGGCAGTTGATCAGCTCTGCCACCATGCCCTCCACGGCCAGGCGGGCAGCCAGGATCAGGGGCGTGGTGCCATCATGCATCCTGGCATCCAGATCCGTTACTCGGTTGCGGATCAGAATCTACAAGAGGAGAAAGTAGAGAGAAAGTCACCAGGTGAAATACGACAGAAACTCAGAGAGGCACAAGCACACTGGGGCTGTGCAACCCTGCAGTTCCCAGAGGCAGGAAATGTTCTGTCATCCTCGGGCCCAAGGCACTACCGTGGCCCGTCAGCAACTGTGTGGATATGAGCACCAACAAGTAGCGGGCACTCGGAGACAGGCTCCTGTGCAGGGGAGGCTGTGCAGCCTGGGCCACGCCAGCCTCGCGCCTGACAGCTCACAGGGAGGCCTTCTGTCTCATGGAGGAGGGCAGTGATCGGGAATCAGAACTCTGGTGTTTTCTGCTGCAGGTCCCACCGCTAGTCAGCCGGTCCCTTTGCCCGCCTCCCTTTGCTGCTTCCCCACGCAGAAAACCTGATTCCACCGTGCCCCTATCCTCTCAAGGAACCACTGAATGCACAGAGGGGACAGGAAGGCCCTCGACAAAGACTCTACAGCTCCATCAAGAACTGACTCTTCCCACATCCTTCACCTGGAAGACGCCCTGGGCGTCAGCGGCCACGGCAGCATGGAGAGGGCAGCGGCCCATGTTGTCCTGGGCGTTGGCATCTGCGCCCGCGTCCAGGAGCCGCTTGGCAGCGTCCGCCCTCGAGTAGCGGGCTGCCAGGTGCAGGGCCATTTCGCCAGTGCGGTCCGTCTGGGCCTGCAGGCTGGCGCCCTGGTAGACCAGGTCAGTGATGATGTTGGCAGAAGAGTCCTCTGCATCCTCATCCTCATCACTCATGTCTGAGCTGCCTCCTCGGAGAGAAGCCAGCATGAGCGGGGTGCAGCCATCTACAGGAAGGAGAAGGTCGACATGAGCAAAGTCATTCTTGGTGGGGTCGGGGGAGAGAATGCCTATGCTTCCCGGGGTCACGGGTAATTAGTTTTACATTTGCCACCTACTTGCTCTGATGAGGGTCTTTCTGTACTGAGTATATAAACATAGGAGTGCGGCCAAGAAATGGACACAACCTAAATGCCCCCAAACAGATGAGTGGATCGAGAAGACGGGGTCTATATACACTGTGGAGTATTATCACTCAGTGGTCAAGAGCCATAAACTCACGCTATTTGCAGCAACATGCATGGAGCTGGAAGGGACTGTGCTAAGTGAAATAAGCCAGGAGGAGAATGAGAAACACCACATGGTGTCACTATGGGGAACACAGAAACACAAAACAAAGGGTCAGGGTCTCCCTGGTGGCACAAGGAGTTAAGCACCGCACTATGAAGCAAACCGCAGCCTCTGCAGCACGAGTTGGATCCCCAGCCGGCCAGGGAGCTACCCACATGGTGCAGCAGACCTCTCCTGACTCGCCCGCTGCTCCCCTCAGCAATGTATTTCAGTGGATCTGCCTGTTCTGTTCCCCACTCTGTCTCTGGTGAATCCTCTCACCTGCCTCTGGCCTGTACCCCAGCTCTTGTATGCATAAATAAATAAATCTTTAAAAAAAAAAACAACAACAAAGGGTCAGACAAAGACAAATTATAAAACCAATCCTTGAAAATGACCACAGATCTGAGGCTCCCACGAGGGGAGAGATGAGAGGGGTCTGGAGGCTGCAGGGGGAATGCTACCATGACCACAGCTCAAGGGAGAAACGCACGTGGCCAAAACACGAACAAAGATCTAAAATAATGCCACTTCACCCATTTAAAAACAACAACAACAGGCCAGAAACTGTGGTATCTAAATCCACAGCAGACGACTACTGAGCTATAAAATGAACGCGTCGCCATCTCTAAAACAGGGATGGAGCTGGAGGGGATGAGGCAAAGGGAATTAAGTCAAAGGAAATAGGGCAGATGGCTTCACTCGTCTGTGAAGAGGAATGTAGAGAAACAAAAGACCGGGTTGGACAAAACCAAACTAAAAACAAACCCTAGGAATCTGCCTACAGAATTAAGGGTACTGGGGGGGGGGAGCTCGGGTGAAGAGCCGGGCGTAGGGGCCTAGTGGGCTGTGGGGTGGTGACACGCGCCTGAAGAGGTGTGATCCTGCACCTCTGAACACACAGTGTTGTAAACTGGCTGCCTCCATAGGAAGTAAACATGCAGTTACCATCCTGAATTACAAAAAAAAAAGAAAAGAAAAGACGTGCAATGAGCCTGATAGGCAATGGGGCTGCTGCACGGACAGCCATGTGAGCTTCCTCCCCTCCCGCTCATCTGGCTCCCAATCTCCGCACATCTACATCCCGCGAGCACGGCACAGGGAGCATCCCAAGTGGCCCAAGAGGGACAGCAGCACGCGAGCTGAGGGGCCTCATGGAAGGGGCCGCAGGTGCTGACCGGGGCCACGGACGTTCACGTCCAGCACGTCCACCTCCTGCTCGGCCTGCGGGGGTGTGAGCGCCAGCGACGGGGTCCTACGGATGTCGGCAGCTTCCAGGTGCTGCTGCGTCCACGGGCGTCGGTCGATGGGGTCGTCTTCTTCGGAGAGCAGAGCCTCGTCTTCAGCCTGAAAGTGCAGACAGCTCTCCTCACCCGCCCGGCTGAGCTCGGGGATGAGCGCTGGTCCAGCCTCTCGCCATCTCGCCACACCTCCCGCCGCTGTTCTTTCTCCCTACTGTGACCCTCCGAATTGTTCCTTCGGTTTCCTCCTGTTCCTGGGATGCGTTTATTCTCCAGTATCTTCTGTGCAACCCTTTCAACCACCACGCCCACACTCTGGGCCTCAGCCTTCGTGTGTCCCCTACAAACCTGCCTGCTGTGCCCCCTACAGACCCCAAAGCATCTTTTCTAGCTTCCAGGCCTGTGCCTGTGTTGTGCCCTCTGGCTGCCATGGTCTCTCCCAACATGAGGAAAACTCTACCCACCCTCCAGATGGAATCAGACTTTCATTCCTCTTGTTAGTCGTAAAGCGCACACTCGGCTTACGCCAGCAGCGCACCGCTGTTAAAGCTTGCACGGCTTGTTCGAGGTTGTCTCCATGTGCTTAACATTGTCCGACAAGCAGCAGCTCGCAGGAAGCATTAGTTGAACAATAATTAGCCGCCTGATTTATAATGCAGACGCCCTTTCTTGAATTCTGACTGTGATATAAAGTAGCCAAGACACTTGACAGATACTGCTAGACCTAAATCCTCACAACAACTCACAGAGAAAATTAAATTATTGTCCCCATTTACAGGTAAGGATAACTAAGGACAAAGAAGTAATCTGCCCGCTACAAAGCAGCAGAGTTTTGAACTTAAATCCAGACCTGACTGTAACAAAGGCAATGTTCTCAGCCGCCATGCGCTGCTGCAGGCCTGGATGCTCCTCCCTCCCTCTAGGGGGCTTGGGGTAGCCCAGGACACATGCAGAGCAGTTGTCGATGCTCTGGGGCATGGCTCCCTTCCACATCAGCCTCAGCTCAGCTCCCTCTAACTTCTACGTGGTGTTAGCTTCCTGGGTTCAAAATATAAACTGAATGGTCACTGACTTTCTCCCACTGTTTACTTCCACCTTTCCTTCCAGACGGCGAAGTGCCGAGGGGCTCTCTGGTGATCGTGGACACTGCTGCCCACACCCCGCGGTTCTATTCCACTACTGAGAGCACAGCGTGCAGTCCTGCTCTATCAGACGTCTGTGGAAAACACGCACAGGTAGCTCAGCCCTGACGGGTCACCTCCGGTTCCTGCACAGCAACCCGAGGTCTCCACTGCCTGGCCAACAGAGAAGACGCCCACTTTCCTCCCACTCAGGAAACCGCAGACCAAAGAACAGCTGACGGCTGGCGATGGTGGTTTTCCCACAGCCACTCACCTTGGTTTTCTTTGGCTGAGGCCCCTCGTCGTCGACCCAGTGTTCACTGGTTCCAGAACAAATGAGGTTGGCCTCTGAGACTTGCACGGAGAGGTTTCTGGTACAACAGGGTATGAAGGGGAAACACAGGACAGAGGTTAGTCACAAATGGACACTTGGCCTGCAGAGCATGCCCCGTGTACACCTCATGGCTACACTCTTCAAGCATCTGGCAAGTTCTTTAGATTCTGTGTGCGACTGGCAAGTTCTTTAACCCCTGAGATGGGCTGTATTTTGCATCCCATCGCCTGAGTCAACCACCTTTCCTTTAGCACTGAGCAGCTTCCACGAAGCACTGGGCCGCCGTGGCAACATGCAGAGAGCAGGCACCCAACGTGGGCACTAGTTCCCCGTGCCTGGCCAGGCATGAAGTGTGTGCGGAGAGAGGCAGGAGTTACAACCCCGACTCAGCGAGATGTGCGTCTGGACTTAACCCTGCTCCCCACGGCTGAGGGCCTTACTTTAGCCCCACGGCGTCCTGCCCCACCGGCTCCCGGCGCTTGTGGTTGCTGGAGTCCCGGCGCAGGGTGAAGCCCTCCGGCAGCCAGAGGGAACCATGCTTCCGCTTCCGCTTGGCCATGATCACCCCCAGCAGGATAATGAACAGGATGATGAGGACCGCGACAGCAAGAAGGTAGAGAAGCTGAGTGGGCTTCGGTTTCAGGGACTCACCTGCAAGCAGAGACGGGAGGGGCTGAGCAGAGACGTGGGCCCAGTGTCAGCTCTGCCCGCCCCAGCGCGGAACTAGAGGTGCTGGCGGGATGGGTACCTGTCCCTGCTGCCCCCAAGGGTCGCCGCCCGTGTGTCCCTTCACACCAGGGATACTCACTGATGACAGACACGAGAGGGTAGGACAGGGTGCCCTGGATGGCGTGAGAAGCCAGGAGAGCGGCTGCCGCATCCGTGGTTTTGAAGCACTGGTCTGAATCTTGCACACACTGGCGGTTGTCAATTTCCAGAAACACCTTAGAGCTGTGGGTGTCACCGAAGAGGAAAAAGGGACATGGTGGATATATCAGAGGCTACGAGGCCGGCTGAGTTAGAGGGTTTCACGAGCTTTGCACCCCCACTCGGCACGGGGTTCCCCGCCTCTGTGACGCTGCCTCCGGAGTGACCTCAGAAACCAAGGCGCTGTCTCTGAACTCCAACTCCCACGCTCCCCCTCACTGCCGTCCCTTGGGAAGTCTAAGAGTCAGACTCGGGGAGGAGTCTAGGGGTCAGAAGACGCCTTGTGCGTCTGGCAAGTTCTTTAACCCCTGAAGGCTCATCTATGAAGGCTCAACAAACTGCATCACGAGGGTGCAGAGAACCAACCAGGGCCACGTTAAATGGTGCGGCTCGCAGGCAGGGCACAGTGGTTAACACGAAGTTGGGATCACTAATGAGGGATTCGAGGTGGCCCTGGCACAAGGAAGGGATCCTGCCTTTGAGGCCGTCCTCCTGGCGTCCTGCTGGCCCAGCCCCCCTTTCAGAACCCGCAGACATAAATCCTGGGGTAGTGGACTGCTTTCACTTGGTGCACCATCTGCCTTTGCCTTTTTGCAGACTCCATCTGGACATCCGTGCAGCAAAGTGCTCGGCTGAATAAAACTACGTCCTCCGAAGGTCAGAACCCAGAAACGTACCCGGCCACCTCCTGCTCCTGATCTCCTCCAGGAAGAGACCTGCGTGCCATCCTCGGCCTCTTCATGGCTGCCGACTTCTCCCCATAGTAGGGGTAGACCATGAGGTCGCCCTGGGAGTCCCGCTTAATGCGCAGGCTGGTGTGGAGCAGGGTGCCCAGTGCCCGCAAGAAGCTGCGGGAGTCCTGAAGCAGCTGTTCCGGGGGCATCAGCACCACAATCACCAACGTCCCCTCGGCCAGGTTCTCGGGCCGGTCGGCAGCACAGTCCAGCCCGTCCCAGCCACACTCTTCGCTGTTGCACCCCTGGTCGCAGTGGTTGTCCCTGAAGTGGTCTGCACAGTACTTGTCGTACCTGGGCGGGCGCGGGGGAGACAGCAAACAAGGAGCGGGCTCAGCTGGGCCTGAGCGCAGTCTGGTTCCTGTCTGGAATGAGCCTGGATGTTCTAACCCACCTTGCGTGGCCTAGACAGGCGCCAATGCATGGGGAGGCCTTTCCTGACTCTCCTGTCCCTGAGTGTGTCCCACACAGCAGAGGGAAGTGCTCCCGGTGGGAGGACCAACAAGTGCTCCCGTGCTGGGAGGACTTCGGGGTCCTGGCAGCTGCAGCCTTGGTTACGCGCAGTGCCTACAACTCGGGTCACCCCGCTCTTGCCTCTCTGACCTCATACCCACCCACCCTGGCGAGGTGACTTGGGCCCTCTGCAGGTAAGAGCCGCCTCCAGGAGGTGCCCCAACTTGGCAGAGACCTGGCCGTCGTGAGCTGCTGTGCAGAGGACCTGTCCTCAGGGCGCATTTCTGCCCCTTTCAGGATGGAACCCCTGCTGTGGAAAGTGTGTGTGTGTGTGTGTGTATGTGGGGGGGTGACTCCCACACAGGATACCCCAATAATGGGCACAGTGTCTCCAAATTTGGGGAAAAGGAATTAGAGTCTGAAACCTAAATGGCACAGGGGTCGTTTCAAGTGCGATCCCCTCCCTCCCGCACCCCCGCCCCACCCTGGAGAGGGTCCCTGTTTGACTTGTCGCGTGAGCTCAGTGCAGCATCTAGGGGTCAGAAGACACGGTGAGTGTCTGGCATGTTCTCTAGCCCCTCGGGCTCGTCTGTGAAGGGTCACTAACAAACCGCATCGCGAGGGTGCGGAGAACTAACGAGGGCCGCGGTCAGTGGCGCGGTTCACAGGCAGGGCACTAGGAAGCCGCCCGTAACTGCACCAGTGACGGCCGCGCACTCCTGGCCGAGTCCAGCTCACGCCCCTGGATAAACCAACCAGGGGAAACACGGTCTGAGAAACAGGGAGGAGGTGAGTGAGCAGAGCGAGGTACAGACCTTTCCATGCACCTGCAGGCAGCTTATGTGGGGGAGCCCGAGTTACCTCCCGAGGTCGCAAGAACGGCAGGTAGGAAGGCAGAGACAGGCAGAGGGGGTGCTTCTACAGCGAGCACCCCGGGCCTCTGGAGCAGGGAGAGCGCGGACAGCGTGCGACGCCAGGGAAGGGCCTGGGCACCCGTCTGCGCGGCAGAGGCGGCCTGGGCTGAAGCGGCGGAGCGGTTAGGCAGAAGAAGAGAAGCTGCGCTATGTTAGTGACAGTGTCTCTCGGCCACCGGGGGCCTCGTCGCCCTTACTTGCACGTCTTGCTGTTCCCCTGGCACTCGAAGTTGTCAAACAGGCACTCGGCCGTGTTGCACAGCTCGTCACACTGGTTGTTGATATAGTCCCAGCAGGGCAGCGGAGAGGAGCAGTTGGCCCAGGGGTTCTCCATGGTGAGGGAACAGTCCCCACCGTCCCACTGGCAGGCGTGGCTGTTGCAGGCGTCGTCACAGACGCCGTCCCGGGCCCTGTCCGCGCAGTACTGGCTCAGGCAGGTGGCGGGCGGGGTGCTGGTGGGGGCTGTGTACAGCTCGCAGCGGCTGCCCCAGAACGGCGGGGGACACTGGCAGGAGTAGTAAGGAGGCTGGCGCTGAGGGAAGCAGCTGCCCCCATGCTGGCAGGGGCTGCTGGCACAGCCAGGCTCGCAGTCCTTGGGGTTGGGGCACACGCAGCGGGGTCCTGAGGCCGAGTGCACGCACTGCTCCCCTCTCCGGCACTTCAGGTTTCCACAGCTGCTCTGGCACCTCGCCCCCGAGAATCCCTGTGGAAATCGGGGCATGAATTGAGGACAGCAGCCAACTTTTGAGGGTCTGACCCCGTTTCTCTCCAAATCCCCCCCTCTGCCACACTTCTAAGAGAGAGAAAGACTAGACACTTGGCTAAGATTCCTCCACGTAGCCTCCTGGAGCGAGTTCTGAGAAAAGGCCCCTCCAGTGGGATGGACGGGCACGTTTCTCACGGGGAGAGCTCACTTCGAGAAGTCAAATCGGATAGTCATGGCAGGTGAAGGCTCAGGAGACAAGTGCTGGCCAGCACGTCCCCAGCAGCATCAGATCACTCTACACGGAGCTGCAGCGGGGATCACTGCAGGGGTTCTGGGGCCTCTAAAAGTCATTCCCATGTCATGTTCTTCTCTTACTTCCTGCTCGGCCCCGTCCAAGCTTACAGGACGATTCTTCTTTTGGATCTCGCACAAATACCGGTCTTTGTTCGGGGAAGGCGTCAGCCTCTGGCAGTGGCAAAAGGGGAACGCGAGCCCAGCAGGCGTCCAGCCCCTCGCCCACGCCGAGACCCCGACTACAGACACTGGTCTCCTTCCAGGGAATACCCCGCCACTTCTAGGGCCTCCCCGTGGCGCTTCTGAAGATGGACGGTCACACATCAGGGAGCTCCTCGCTCTGGCAGTATCTTAACAGTCTGGCACGGAAACCCCAGTGCCTGCTTCTGAAGGCGCGGAAATCAAGGAACATTCCGGAGCGCTCTCCGGGAATGTGGGAACGTCCCTCCCTCCCGTGCTGGCACAGACTGAGCAGAGGGCGGAGCCGCAGGCGGGAGCGGGCACTCACCGGGGGACAGCGGCAGATGAAGCCGTCGGGCATGTTGCTCGCCACAGCGCACGTCCCTCCGTTCAGGCAGGGCTTCTGGGGGCACACGTCGATGAAGGTTTCACAGTGGCGACCTCGAAGCAGAGCACAAGAAGCAGTTTTAAAAGGCAGGCGGAGCGACCGTGAGTCCCTGAGCCAAACCCCGGGGACGCGAGCTGCTCGGAGCATCCGAGGGCGGCCGAGGGGCCAGGACGGGGCAGGAACCACGGGGCGCGGCACCTCTCGACAGGGTGGGCTCAGCCACGGAAACGCCGGGCAGACACCGGGCAGCTGGGGCCTCGGGCCAACAGCAGGGGACAGGGATGCCAAGCCCGCGGTCACCGGGAGGGAAGAGGCAGTTTTAAAAAGCAAACCAAAGCAGCACCTCATTTGGCCAATGGGCTGGAGCCAGAGTCTGAGGTGCCAGTCCCTGTGGTCACAGCAGCAGCTGCGCAGGAACATGCCCAGGTGAGCCCGCGCGGCCCTGGGCAGCTGCAGCACCATGAGCTCCAGGGAGTGCGAGTGGCTCATGTACAACACCCCGTCCTGGCTAGGGGACCCGATTCTAGACGGCCCCCACCCTTCCTTCATGCATCCCCTTGGCTGGAACATGCCTGCCAGCGTTCCCAGGCCAGGGACGCCTCAGAGCCAACGAGAGGGGCAGGAACGGGCCCTGGGGCTTCCAGGAGGCTGCACACACCAGCCACTCCCTGTCTCCACATCACCCAGCCGGGCAGCTTCCTGTTGTGAAATCCCCCCATTCTTTATAAATCTCCAATGTCCTTAAAGGTGGCAGCCACTTAGCGCAGAAAGGAAGGTTGGAGATGAGCCAAAATGTGACAGAGTCCAGCGTGCCAACGATGACCGTGAACACATCACTGCAGCTTCTCCACGACTCGACACCTGGCCACACACCCAGCGCAGGAAACCCCACGGCTGCATAAGGGTCGAAGTGACCCCCGAAAACACAGGACAGATTTCTCCTCGGAATCTGACGCTGCTGCCATGGTTAGATGCACAGATGGCTCCCGTGCCCCAGTCTCCAGCTGCCCTCCTCCCGGAGTAACTGGTAAGAGCTGGGACGAAGCCCCGATTCCGAGGCAGGGCATTGCGTGATGGGCAAACGGAATCCGAGAAAATACGGGCAGTGGAGCCAGTTCCTGCTGCTCAGGGCAGACTTGTGGTCCCTGCGGCTTTTCTGCTCACACCCGCATCCTTTACTTTTTGGTTAAACACACCCTAATTTGCACCCAATCCCGTAAGTTCCCTCGACGGCTGTAAAGCGCCTCTGGGTCCCACACGTGGGCTGGAGCCACCCAGGTGCTCCAGGTGCCACGTGTCCGAGGAGGGAAGGCCAGGAAGTGGTCAGATTGGACGCCGGGCCACAGCACGAATGTTCTGGACGCCACGGGGACCTGTACCTACCCCTGCATCGATGGTCCACTCTGTGTCTTCTACAACAGCTCTGAAATCTAACTTTGCCCAATGCCCTGTCTCTTTCTTGATTCCTTCTACAGTGTGACAGAATCAATGCGTAACAGAAGAGAAAGCATCTCTGGGAAAAAATAAAAGGTAGAGACTGACACCCATGACACCCATGGACCACAGACCTAGGAAAATCGTGGGCCCCTGAATTCACTGGCCTACTTCCTCACAGAGGGCCCCGCAGGGCCCGGCGCTCACCGGTGAAGGCGCTGCGGCAGACGCACTGGTAGTCGTCGGTGAGCTGGATGCAGTCCCGGCTGCCCTCGGAGCTGCAGGGGCTGGAGAGGCACTCGTTGATGTCGCCCTCACACCGCTCCCCTGCGAAGCCAGGCAGGCAGCGGCAGCTGAAGCCCCCGATCCTATCCACACACTGACCGCCGTTAAGGCAGTGGGGGCCCCCAGCACAGTCATCAATGTTCTCTTCACAAAGCAGACCTGAGGGCAGGGAGAAGAGCAGAGGGTTATGGGAGCGCTGGGGACGCCGCTTTCCAGCAAAGGAGACGCGTCCTCTTGGGCGATTAAACAGGTCACGGCTCGGCCTATCTGCGGGGGGCGTCTTGGGGGAGGCCAGGCTGCCATGGCCGCGGCTGACACCTTTGGAGCAGCAGAGCAAAGGCAAGAACACACTTAGGGTTTCACACCTGCCCACCCTCACACCCCAGCAAAGTGGACCCCTGGGAAGTAATTGGGTCCCAGCTCAAGGGTGAGGAAACCAGAGCTCAAGAAAAAGACTAGGAAGAAACCCTATGTTCCTATCACTTGCACTTGTAGCTCATGCTAATACAAGAAAAATTATTAAAAAGAAAAAGGAAATGCAAGAGAGAGGAAAAAAAAGCCTCATTTCCAAAAGCAACAGAAAAAAGAAATACTATCTAGGAAAAATCTTAAGAAATGTACTAGACCACTTTGAAGAGATTTAAGGTTCCAAATCGACACAAAAGGAGGCTTAAATAAATGGAAATATGCTATGCTTTGGTTAGGAAGACTCCTCATCATAAAGACAGCTGTTGTCTCTATACAAATTCATAAACTTAAGGTGACCCCAATTAAAAAAAAATAGATTTTTCAATATACAATCTGATTCTAAAGTTAAATGGAAAAATAAACTATAACCAGACTGCAAAATGCGGAAAAACAGGTCCCTTCATAGTTTAAACAGTGACATTGATAAATGTATAGAACAAGAAAGAAAATGCACATGGGAATCCAGAATGGGATAAAGGTGCTACCTCTATTCACTGGACAAAAGACCAGTCAGACAATTGTGCTGAGAAAAAGCAGCAGCAGATGACTAAAGCACCCCTACATTCTAATAGAAAATACGGGTCAGGCCTTTGTGACCGTAGCGTGTCAACAGGGTTGGTGGCTAGGACCACGTTTCAGAGGTCGTAAAAATGATTGCTAATTTACTTTTAAAAGATAAAATGGAAATACCGTGTGGCCGAGCAATCCCACCCCCAGGTATGTACCCCCAAAATACGAAACCACAACTGGAAAAAGTCTATGCTCTGTAATGTTCACTGCGGCAGGACGTGGCCCATCCACACGGTGGAACACCATCGGTCACAAGGAAAGACAGAACGTCGCCACTTACAGCAACATGGAAGGCGCTCGAGGGGATTATATGTAAAGCAAGTCGGAATGACGAAGACCAAGGTGGGCCCTTTACACGGTGGACAAGTTTGACCAAATGCTAAGAAACACTAGTGCACGCTAGCAAGTGAAGTGAGCCTTTCTGAGGCAAAGAAGTTGTGGGGAGAGAGTAAGGGTTAAAGGGTATGAGCAACGGAGTGGGTAAAAATAACGACTATTTATTACAAATGTAAAAATTGAAAGCTCTAGATGGGAAAAATCACCACAGAGAAAGTCAAGATTCAACTCAATATACTGAGGAAACATTTGTATTGTGTATCACAGATGTCTAATCTATTAAATACTAGAAGCGTAATGACAAGTAAGGCTACAGGCATGAACAGAGAAACCACTGCAAAAGGAAACCCGAGAGACTCCAGCCGGAGCACGTTCCGGGTACAGGAGAGCCTGGTGCTCTCTCCCTGTCTCCCGGCAGCTCCTCCACCCAGCTGTTCCTGAGCGCCACCCTCTGCAACAAGTTGGCGCTCTGGTGAGGAAACAGGTTTCCTGAGTGCTGTGACTCATTCTAAGCCAATTAACCGAACCTCCAAGTCACAGGCGACTGGTCTGAGACGCAGATAAGCTGGCTTGCTGCTCGCACTGAGCCCAGGCGGGCGCTGAGGGACCGCCCAGGTGTGACCACATTGGTCAGGAGCCTGGTGGCAGCACCTACAGAGGGCGGTCCCAGAGGCCTGGCCCTGTCCTCAAAGCCTAACACTGCCTTGGGCAGAGAGGGCCGGAACCAGGCTGGGCTCTTGGGCTCCTCCATCATCCAAGGGCTGCTGTCCCCGTGGTGTGGCCTAGACGCACACACTGGGATCGGGCCCAGGAAGCCAGTGACATGACCACGCAAGGGCGTGCCCCTATGCATCAAGGTCAAGCCATCGAGAGACCAGGACAGGGGGTCCTGGAAGCACCAGCAGAGAAGCAGCTGATCACGCACAAGGGTCCCCAGCAGGAAGAACAGCCCACTCCTCCACGAAGAACATGGAGTCACAAAGGGTAGGGCGATGCCAAGGGCTGGGACAAAGAGACGGTCAACAAAAATAACGAAAGTACTGTTTAAGTCGTCCTTATGAGTTACAAGAGAACCGTGGCTGCCTTCTGGAATATTCCTTTCTAGGACTGGAAGCCCTAATGAATAGGAAGTTTACGGCACAGCTGTAATTTTTAGTGCTCAGTGAATACTCCTGTTCTCTTTCAGGTCCCCAGCCTTGCCCGGGGTCAGGCTGAGACAATCACTCATTCCCGCCTGCGCGTTACGACCCCAGCGGACGTGTCCCTTCCAGACCGAGGTGGGAAGAGCTTCTGCGTGAGACCGCGAGCTCTCTCCTCCACCGCTAAGGGGGCCCCGAAGGCAAGCTCCAAGCCAATAAATATAAAAAGTCAATTGATACTAAAAGACAGACAGAGCAGCCCTGCAAACATCAAACTTCATCTGTGTCACCAAAAGAAAAAACAAAAACCAGAAAACACCTTGTTGTGTTAAGCCAGTGAGACTGAGGTTTCTTTGCTACCGCCAGAGTCACAGCTTATCCTACACGGACAATCATTCAGAGGCACAATCTCACAGCGAATCAAAGCTGACTCCTGCTAGTCTTTCAACTACTCACTTCTAGAGCAGAAAGCACCTCTCCTTTTCCGGGGCCAAATCTTCCATTTAAAGCTTGAGCGCTGGGTTGCGAGGCTGCCCGCAGCCTCTGCAGCGCCAGTTCGATCCCCGGCCACCAGTGAGGGTCCCACAAAAAAAGAATAAATAAAGACTCTTTCTCCTTAGTTTTCTCGTCATTTTGAACCTCACTCCTCTAGCCCACTAGCGGGGTGAGGCTTGATTTTAATTCAGCCAATATCTGAGCTCAAGGAAGGTAAATTGACGCAAAGGTCTGAGACACAATGAATACTTTCCTGAGCTCTTATTGTCTTTTGACATTGAAAGAAAACTTCTCACAAGTGCAGCTGGCCTCTGACTTTCTGCTTCTCAGCTGCTCTGAGAGGTACTACACGCCACGTCTCCCTGGACAGCCATCCAGACTCGCTCCAGAAGTGGCTTGGAGGCAAAGCTCACAGCTGTCTCCGGCTGCACCTCCCGGGGCCTCACCGAGGTTCCCACATTCAGGCTCATGGCAAGAGGCGCCTGCTCCGGGCTCTATTAACAGCAAATGTTCCCTTCCCTGGCCCCCAACCTATGGAGGTGAGATCGGCTCGTTTAAAAAAAATACATGAGGGCCTCCCAGTGGCGCAGCTGTTGAGCCCTGGGCTGCGAAGCTGCCTGCAGCCTCTGCAGCGCCGGTTCGATCCCCGGCCGCGGGTGGGGGGGGGGGAGGAGGGTCCCACATGGCGCGCAGACCTCTCCTGCCGCCCGCTGCTCCCCTCAGCAGTGTATTTCGTCAGTCTGCCTGCTCTGCTCCCTGCTCTGGCTCTGGTGAATCCTCTCAACCTCCTGCGCTTCTGACTGTACCCAGTGCTTGTATAAATAAATAAATGAATAAATCTTTAAAAAAAATAAAAAATAAAATACATGAGCTGGTAAGTTGTGAGCCGCTCGTGCCACTAACTGCTTTCCTCGGAAGCACCAAGAATCCCTGCAAACTCAGCTAATTTGTTATGACGCTGGATCAGGTCTACATCCTGTGAACAGAGGAGGCTGCAGCTGTCAGACAGAACCGCAGCTGTCAGTCAGGGCGGCAGCGCTGGCTGAGAGGAGAGTGAAGGCGTGAGAGTCACCAGCGGGCAGAACGAAGTGCCCAGAAAGAAGCCAGCTTTACTGTCTTGAGCTGTTTAAAGCCCCTGACACTGAAAATGGGTTTCTAGCTTGGAGGAGTCTGGACGGGGTGGGCAGGGCCGAGTCATACCCCGCGTGCCCGGCGGGCAGGAGCACTTGAAGTGGTTCACAAGGTCCACGCAGGTGCCTCCGTTCTGGCAGGGCCGGTGCTGGCACTCGTCCACCTCGTACTCACAGTTGACACCCTGGTACCCTGGGACGCACTGCCAGGAGCAAGAGAAAAGGATGAGAAATGCTGGGCCGGGCTGGAAGCAGGACACATGAGCGGACGAGAGCGGGGACGAGGCTGCAACCCGCTGCTCCTGCCCAGCCGTGCGTTCTCCTCACTCCACAGGCCACTGGCCACCCAGGAGGCTCAACCCGCAGCTGACGCGTTTCTCTCTTCTAGGCAACGTGTGACTCTGCAGAGGACATGAGGACTGAGGATTCTGAGGGTATTTCGAGAGGACTCTAGCCAGGACTCCCCTCCCTGCCGGGGGCAGAGCTTCCCGGTAAACGTGCTTGGAGCGCCGGGCACAGGGAACTGCCTGAGTGACGCTGGTCACGTTGGGGACGGGGGTCGGGGTGGCCCCTCTCCTGGCTGCGGAAGACAGAGTTCAGGGCATTTAAGGGCTCATCGAGCAAAAGGACCCCAGTGTGCAGGAGCTTCATCTGGGCACTGCTGACCGGTCTGCACGGGGAAGTCCCGCAGACCGGAGACCATCCAGAGAGGAGGAGGCAGCAGAGAGGGGAGCACGTGGACTCCTGGAGGGGAGGAGCACAGGTGGCTCCCGTCTAGGTGACGCTGCAGGTCAGCCTGGAGCCCATGGCCAGAGCCCCAAGAGGTGTGTGTGCCAGGCTCAGCTGGCCACGGCAGGGCGGTGGGGCCGTGTGCAGCACACACACCTCTGAGACATTTTCAACCTTTACTTAAAATGTGGCTACCAGGAGCTGGGGGCAGGGAGGGAGGGGAGACCCCCGCTTCTGACTCCAAGATGAAGGGTGGGGAGCTGCTGTCAATGTGAGCCATGCGGGTGTAGCTGGATAGGATGTGGCGTGCTTGAAATTTCTCAAGAGAGAAGTTAAATATTCCTTCCAGAAAGAGGCAACTGTGATAAGGTGTAAATCATCCAGGTGAAGGGGACCCTCGGACAACGCCCAAGTGATAAAGGACCATGATCTACACCTGGGGCCTCTCACCACCCGATGTGCCATTTACACCTCCCAAGCTGGAAAAGGGTCCATTTAAAACTACAAAAAAAACCAGGGCCTCCCTGCTGGTGCAGGCCGTTGAGTGCAGCGCTGTGAAGCTGTCCGCAGCCTCTGCAGTGCGGGTTCGATCCCGCTGGCCAGGGAGCTACCCACACGGCGCAGCAGACCTCTCCTGCCTCGCCCGCTGCTCCCCTCAGCAGTGTATTTCGTCAGTCTGCCTGTTCTGTTCCCCACTCTGTCTCTGGTGAGTCCTCTCACCCCCTGCATCTCTGGCCTGTACCCCAGCTCTTGTACACATGAATAAATAAATCTTAAAAAATAAAACAAAACTACAAAAAACATGTGAAAATAATAAAATGCCTGCATGTGTACAGATTTTAGTTTGGTGCCAGGTCCCACTGGAGGAGCATGGGCGGAGGGGGCCCTTCTCAGGGCTGCCGGGGGTTTGACCCGCTGCCAAGGTCATGTCCATGTGCCTGCTCACATCCATTCTAACCATTATCAGTCCAAGTATTAAGAAGGCAGTGAGTGTCCGTTTAGCCACAAACGTCCTCAAATAGCCACATGGGCCCCTCTGTAGGACGCTCCAGGGAAGAGGCCAGGCGACACCCTCTGAGGGAGCTGTTGGCGGATCCATGGGTACAGGTGTAACGTGGGCCTGGGGGGTGCCCCTTGAGTGGTTTTTCTGACTCCCGCTGATTTTCAGGGCAGCGCAAGTGCCTGTGCAATGGCTCTGAGAGGGGTCAAGGGGCCGCCCCAGGAAGCAGGTGGTGCCAGGTCCCTGCAAAGAGCTTACTCACTGCACGGGGGATGGACAGAAGCAGAGACTAGTCCTGTAAAATGACTGTAAATTGCAGAAGGAAAATCCAGCAGCTAAATTCGACATGCTAGATGCCCAGCTCCCCGCCCCTCTCGCCGCTCACCTCGCATCTGTACCCGCCGATGAAGTCGCTGCAGGTGGCCCCGTGCTGGCAGGGGCTGGACGCGCACTCGTTTAGCTGCTCCTCGCAGTAGCTGCCCGTGTAGCCCAGCGGGCACTGGCAGTGGTGCGAGTGGCCGGCGTTGATGCAGACGCCGGAGTGCTGGCACAGGCGGTCGACGGGCACCCCTGAGAAACCGGGGGAGACAGCGTGCCGGGCTCAGGCCCAGGGCAGAGCGAGCTCATGGAAGCCCCTTTTGTCAAAGCCTGGCGTCCCCCGCTGCCCGCCCCACCCCCCGCACCACCACAGCAGCTGGCCAGTCACCTCTCTGGGAAGCAGCCACCTCGCAGGAGACACTGGGCACGTCGCAGTAAGCGCCAGCCCACCCAGGGGGGCACAGGCACCGGGACTCCGCTTTCTCCTGGACGCAGGTGCCCTTGTTCTTGCACGGAGACCGGCTGCAAAGGTTCACCAGCGTCTAAAACGGGGCACAGAGAGCGTCACTCAGCGCCATTGGCGACTGGGTGAAGCCAAAGGAAAGCTCACTGCCTAGCGGGGACGAGGGACAGGTGCGTCACGCAGCGGCTACAGGGGGCAGGGCAGGGGCGCGAGCTACCTGGCAGTTCTTCCCGGTGTAGCCCACAGGGCAGGTGCAGCGGTAGCTGCCCAGCCCGTCCACACACACCCCGTCGTTCAGGCAAGGGCGAGAGCTGCACTCGTTGATCTTGTGCAGGCAGAAGGGGCCGGTGAAGCCCACGGGACACAAGCAGGAAAAGGCATTGACCCCGTCCACGCAAGTGCCCCCGTTGAAGCAGGAGCTGCAAGCAAACGGGGAGAACGTTACTGGCCCTGCAATCCGGCTCCCCCACCTGCTACTGAAGGAAGCAAGTTGCCTGGAATCTAAGAAATTATTCCTAAGCACCCCAAACGCCCCATCCAGTCAATTTCACCCTCTAACCTAGGCTGGGTGACACCACCCTTCCACAACTATGAGGCTTATGAGTATTTAAAGGGCTGAGGCTTGTTAGAAATTCCCAGAGAAGGTAAAGTTTTCCGGGTTTTACCCAGCCCTCTGTGGTTTCCCTCGTATCATACCTCATTTTATCCCTCAATTGTATCTGTAAGTGCTAAGTAAATAGCACTTGACTCTAAAGTTCTTTATGAAAGAAAAACAGAACATGCTTGTTGATAGTGTTGTATAAAGGCACGAAAAAAAGCTCCCAGAAATTGCACAAAGAGTGGTAACAAAATGCGACCAAATGGGGATTTTTAGATTGTCGACTGGAATGAGCAAGAGAACCCACCAGAATGACAGCTCTTCTGCTGCCGAAGCAAGAAACAAATGCCGAGCCAACCCTCTAAGCTTTTCGACCCCTGGCCCTAATCCTTTAACCACTTGTCTACAAGGATAGGAGTTGGGCGCCAGACAGGATCTGGGGTGTGGCCAAGCGGGCGCTCCGCCCTGCTGGCACCTGGGACCGCCAGCCCGCCCTCCCCACAACGCTGGCCCGGCACCCGGTGCCCACCTGTCCGTGCACTCGTCGATGTTGTTCTCGCAGTGGACGCCGTCGAAACCCGCCTGGCACTTGCAGGTGTAACTGTTGACGTAGTCGGAGCAGGTTCCCCCGTTTTTACAGGGTCCACTGAGACACTCGTTCATGTCCGTCTGGCACTTGTCCCCCACGAAGCCGGGGAGGCAGAGGCAGGAGAAGGCGTTCACTCCGTCCACACAGGAGCCTCCATTCTGGCAGGGGTCTAGGCCAGCACAGACGGGAATCAGCACCCCGCGGCGCCATTCAGCCTGGGACGCCCGGGGTGCGGGGCCTGAGCTGAGTGACTCACGGTGACATTTCTGACTTCTCTGTGCTTGTCTTTTCTTTACTTCTATTTTGCCCTGATTCTTTCCTTTGTGAAAATGACTGCAGTAACACTGAGATTCTTTTTTTTTTATTTATTTATGCATACAAGACCTGGGGTGTAAGTCAGAGATGGGGGCAGGTGAGAGGATTCACCAAAGACAGAGCGGGGAACAGAACAGGCAGACGACAGAAATCCACTGCTGAGGGGAGCAGCGGGCGAGGCAGGAGAGGTCTGCTGCGCCATGTGGGTTGCTCCCCGGCCAGTCGGGGATCGAACTCAGGCTGCAGTGGCTGGCGATACCTTGATAGCGCTGTCTTTAAGCCCTGCACCACCAGGGAGACCCAACACTGAGATTCTTAACTCAGAGAAGCTGATAACTGGACTAAGCTCTAGAATAACTACTACATCACTAATAATTGTGCAAAAGTAATAAAAGTCCTAAAATCCTCATGGCCCCTCCACATGTTCTCCAATCAAGTACATGAACACAACACACAGATCTGCAGGAGGAGGATAAAGATGGTCCCCAGTGTGCATGGCGGTGGCACAGCAGGTAGGCGGGACTGGATATAAACTAGTCAATTTTTATTTTTGATGTTTTTTTCTTTTTTAGATTCAGCTAATATTAGTAAATAATTTTTTCTCCTCAACTTTATTACATAGCTTGGTCTTAAAACAAAGAGCAACTCTTGCCCTTAAGGACCTTCAATATAATTGCAAAGACAGGTCATAAACATAAAAAGGAAATTAAACACTGGGTGGGTGTTGCAGACCATTTTTCCCAAGAGGGATATTTAACGTATGGTATCTGTGAGCCTAATGCCATTCTGAGGCTCATCTGCCATAATTACAGAGCCACTGCCGACCTGACGCTGTCCTTCCTAGTCACGCTACACAGACCAGTTACCGTAACTTCCACGGCATCTTCCAGAAAACTCCATTATTTACTGCATTCCTTTAACTGTAAATTTGCTAGTCCTACTTCAAATAAGAAAAAAAAACTAATTTTTTTTTAATTAATGTACTAATTAATGTGGGGAAGGAATCCAAATAGCTTGTGCTCATTGCCTTAAATTTCTCCAGTAATTGCACCACGGACATATTTTCTCCCATGTGCCATACGGGGAACAGACACAAAATTCTTAACATACATTTGGGAAATCAATTCCAATAATATAAAAAAGAAATAATATATCATAACCAAGTAGCATTCATCCCAGGAATTAAAGGGAAGTTAACTGCACAATTCACCCACTGCACTCCCAGATATTTACTCAAGAGAAACGAAACCCTCTGTCCACGCACAGACTCAAGCTGCTTGAGTTGTAACACCCAGACCTGGGAGAGAAGCGAGGGCCCTGCTGGAGACTGCAGGCCCGACCCTGGCGGACACCACTGCTACTCACGCACCATGTGGACGGGTCTCAATAAACTGAGTAAGTTCCATATTCCCTTTCTCAAAAAAAAAAAAAAAAGTTTGCAATATGATTATATTTATATAAAATCATAAAAATGCAAACACACCTATGGACAGAGGCAGGTCTACAGCTGCTTGGCACAGGGACATGAGAAACAGGATTAGATACAAAAGAGGAGAACTTGGAAGGGGACAGACATGTCCATTTCTTTGAGCAATGGTGTTGTCAGCTGTCAAAACCCACTGAACACTGCCCTGAAACACTGCTGTGTCCTGCCGTCAACTGGACCTCAACAGATCGTCTTGTTTTTAGAGCTTTTGGGGCGTGTCCCCACTCTGTCCAGGTATAAAAGCCAGCGATACTTAGAGGAGGTATTGCTGCTTCACCCGTAAAGCCTCAAGCTTTGAAGGAGGGTGACTTACACGCTAACCCTAGACACATGCAATCAACTACCGGGGTAGCCGCCTCAGCCCCGGGAGCCCTCTGTTGGGCGTGCCTGTCCTCCCACCCCCACCCAGCCCCCGGGATCTGGGGGCAGGCAGACTCACTGGCCAGGCAGTCATCGACGTCTTCCTCGCAGTCAGCACCGCTGAAGCCGGGCGGGCACTCGCACACGTAGCTGCCCTGGGTGTTATGGCAGAGGCCGTGGTTCATGCAGGGCTTGGAGACACACTCGTCCACGTCGATGGTGCACCGCGGGCCTAGGGCAGGGATGCAGGCAGTAAGCAGCGTGGCCTCTGGGAGGGGGTCCCACGGAAATTCAGGTGGGGCCTGAGCATCAGCTGGGATGGGGCCACCCTAGGGATACCCCGATTGTTCTCCAGCTTTGGGGAGCCCCTTAGGGCTTCTGTGGCCTGACAAGTCATTGCTACCAACTGAAATTTCCTGGAGAACAGGCTTCAGACTCGGGTTGGAGTTTTCCAGGCACTAGGGGGCCCCAAGGACAGGGAAGGGAAGGCTCTCAAAGCCCATGGGGTAGCAGCCTCTGCACAGGCCTGTGCACGTGGCAAGGCAGGCAGCAGGGGAGGCCAGGGCCTGTGCCCCTGCTCATGAGGCTGCTGTGTCTGCAGCAACCAGTGTCTCCAGGCCCACGTGCTTACCCTGCCAGCCGGGAGCACAGAGGCAGGTATAACTCTCAAAATTCGGTGCCTCTTTACAAACAGCTGCATTCTCGCAAGGGTTTGGGGAGCAGGGGGCCAGCACGATCTGGCAGTTCTTGCCTGTTAAGAAGTGACAAAGTTTATAACAGAAAATCAGTCAAAATAACAGAAATTGCCCCAAACCCTTTGGGGCATGTCAGTGAGGAGGGAGTGAGGGTGACACGTAACTCAGGGGCTCTTGGGGGTTAATTGGAAAAAGCACTTTCAGAGTCCTCATTAGCACAGAGCGTGCTCCCAGGTGGGCTGCTGTCTGGCGGCACCAGCTACGCAGATTTGAACACCAGCACCAACCAGGCCCACACGGCCTCAGTTAGGGTTCAGCCGGGAAACCCAGCAGTGTGCCAACTGCCCTGGCCACCTCCACTGCTTGTTCTCACACCAGCACCAGCACATGGCACTGCCTTGTGCCCACCGCACCCCCTGGATCCACGCACCCACGATGTCCTTCCAGGGGAGCCAGCGGGAAGGAGGAACCTTTCATCAAAGGGTCGTAAGGCTGTCCGTACAGTCAAGTCAGTTTTTAAACTATCCTAAAACTCCATATTCAAGCGGGAAAGTGACGACACGTCCTCCACCACCCACCCCACTCAGGTTCAGCAGCAGCTCAGAGCGAGGACGCCCGCTCCAGCCGGCCAGACTCACGGACATTTAAAATCTCAGCTCCCCTCAGCACCGATCTGGAGCTACACAGGCTTTCAACCTAGTGTAACTTCCAAGTTCACACAAACACAGTTAGGAGGGCACTAATTTGAAGAAAAACCAACGTCGACAGGCAGTTAAATGCTCTCAAAGTACCCGAGGCGCACAAAGTCGAAGCCAACATCTCCAAGGGGAGCCGCACCACGAGCACACGCAGGTGAGTGCCCCACGGCCGCCGGCCCAGGCCTCGCTGATGCGCAGACGACCTCTCCCCTCCCCCAGGAGCGACCGTGGTCACGTGGGAGTGGCGTCAGTTAGACCTGTCTACCCGGGAACAGCCAGGAGTCTCAGGTAATGTGGCTTCACCAGTCTGGCTAAATGCCCTTTCGCACGTGGACAGGGCTGCAGAGGGGGCGAAGGTCACAACAGAGGGTCCAGTGTTTCAGGGAACAGAGTCAAGCTTTCGGCCCCTCGGCCAGTCTGAACACCTGGGCATCACCACTGACTGGCAGATACAGAGAAGCGGGGCCTCAGCTGGCTCCTGTCTGTGCGGGCACCACAGTAACAAGCTATGCCGCCGCCCGATGATGCGAAGGTGAAGGAGACACACAAAAGAACCAGTCACAAGAGGGCAGTCATGAGGCAGGAAAAAAACAGAGTGCCCAGGCACACCCCCAAATTCCTGAACAAAGACCACCTGGCGTGGGGTGAGCCACACCTATGTCTTCTGCATGTGCGATCCCTCCCCAAAGCGAGCGCAGCTCCAAATGAGGCACGTGAACCGAGTGTGAGGAGATGCTTGGCGGTACCAGGACCAGCACTGGACTCCTGGGGCCTTGGGGCAAACCTGAGAGTGACGACTTCCCGACTTCCCTCGGCGACCTTCAACAATCACCTCTCTTTGCCTCAGCTTCCTCGTAGATACGACGGAAAAGAACTCCCACCTTGCCTCATTATACCACCAGATTAAAAAACCCTCAGTGCACCAGCACAGTAATTACCCCTCATGCCGGCTGCTGCGTTGTTCAAACTAAGGCTGGGAGTGCAGGCCACGAGGAAGGGCTCTGTGGAGTGATGGACTGACCACCGCTATAGGCGTCAGGTCCACGGAAAACAAGCTCAGACCCTGCAGCACCGAGAAAGCAGACGAGCTCCTGCTCTACCTGCACAGGGCGGCCACGCGTCCTCTTACAGCTCCAGTCCTCAGTGGACCAGAACAGGTGCCAGGCGGCCCGGCTCCGAGACCAAAGGGCTGAGAGGACCAGGCAGGACCCGGCAGGACTGGCACAGCCTCTGGCCCCTGCGCTGCACTCACCTGTGTACGGCAGCACGCAGCGGCAGGTGTAGCCGCTTATGTTGTCCAGGCAGGTTCCCTGGTTCAGGCACGGGTTTGAAGCACATTCGTCGATGTTAACCTGGCAGTTCAGGCCTGCAGACAGAGCAGGAAAGGGTCGAAAAGACCTTCTCATTATCTGTTTCTGCTGACCACTGTTAATATTTTCTTTCTCTCACCATTGGTGATCACATACATACAGTTATTTTAAAGATGGAAGAGGGGTGGCGGGGATTCACAAGCTGTATGTCTTGGGCGTGCAGGCTCACAGTTCTGCAAATGTGTGTGAGCACACCCCACCCTGACCCGGGGGTCCCAGCACAGCTGTCCCACCTCCCCAACCGTCCCTTCCAGTAGCCCCGGGGGATAGTCAGATTTCAAGGGTTTATTTTTGTCTTTCCGTTTGCTTCGTTTTTAATATTCCACATGAGTGAAATCATCTGTTATTTGTCTTTCTCAATCCTCTCAGTGGTAATAATTAAACAGATCAGAAACTGCCGTGATTCCTCCAGCCTCCCGGAAAACCTGCTCATTCGTTTCAGCCACAAATCCCCGACGGTCAGGGAAAGACGGGGCTTGAAGAGGGACAGTCAGAGGTGAGCAGAATCATACAGCGAATTCTTGGACACCTAACTGCTCCTCTGCTACCGTTTTTTCAACAATGGACGAAGAAGTTCATTAAGGGTAAAAGTCTGCTGATGTATCTAAACTTAAGAAAGCCCCTTCTATAAAAATAAAAGGTCAGGGCTTTAAAAGGGGCTATTATCAAGAGGTGAAGTCACAAAGCTGTTGGGCCCTAATCCAGACGTGACATCCACCCCCACGGTGAGAGAGAGAAGTGAAAGCATGAAGGGACAGGGCAGGGCTCCAACAGTGTACAGTGCTGCATCTCTCAGGGCCTGCCTGGACCCTCCGGGAGAGGGACACGTGACCGGGTACGCAGGGGGCCGGGTTCAGCCGCTCTCGGCTACTCAGCGGCCACACAGCTCTGAGTTTTACTTTTGATTTTTATTCTGTTCATTGATCAGCGAGTCTCAATGAGACAAAGAAAGGTACTTTTAAACCTATAAATTCTCTGCAAATGTAACATCGAAATCAATGACAAAAGTGGGGTCTCAGACACTTTTGAAGAAACAAAAGCAGGTTTCTGTGTGGAGAAGTCAAGACTAGCCGGATAGAAGGGGAAAGACAGACGGACACCCGCAGCCGGTCTCGGAGTCTCACAGAGGAAGGTGACAGTAGAAATACACCAGTGACACAAAAAGGGACTTCACCGATTTCCACTATTCAGCATTTCTCCAGAAAATCACGGGTGACCTGCTATAAAGAGTAACTTGCCAGGGCTTCACGGAGATGACATCAAGGGTAACGCCGGTGAATGTTAAGGATCAGAGAATGCGCTGACATCTAAGAACACCTCCGCACGTAAGGGACGTGCTGAAAGGGTGCTGAGCCTATGAACACTTCCACGGCATCACTGCTACCATATTAGGGTGCAGTCCTTTCACCCTACAATCAGACCTGCACCAGGGAGCCCATGGTCTGCCCAGAGGCGTGTTGTGGGGCCCCGAGGCGTGACTTCAGCAGAGCGGACAGCCCCCTCTCGTGGACCAGAGCAGCACCTTGACCGACTTGGTCATTATTTCCCAAGCACCTTACAGATATTAAGAGCTCAGCTGGTATGTGCCGCACGGATGTGTGGGGGAAAAGGACGGACTCAGGCAATCCACGGCAGCCACAGACAAGCATAAGAGGTGACAGCACTCACGCTGTTCGCTCACCTTTGAAGCCCTTCTTGCAAGCGCATCTGTACCCATTCACCAGATTGTCGCAAGTGCCTCCGTTCTGGCACGGGTTGGAGAGACATTCATTTCTGTCCACTTCACAGTTGGTGCCAACCCAGCCGGGATCACAGAGGCACTTGTATCTGCGGGAACACAGAATTCTTTACTGTGAGGGATGAATGTACGATTGAGTCGCAGAAGAAACACACACTTGGGCAAGAAAGGAGAGGAACCCGGGGGTACACGGAGCTCATTCTCTTCCATGGCCCTAACTTCCGCCCCTGGTGAGGACCATGTGGGTCCATCTGGAAACGCAGTGAGCAGGCCTTGCCCCTGGGCCAGAGAAGGGCAGCGAGTTTTCGTGTGAACAAACATCCCCAGGGTAAGCCTGGAGTTTCTTTTCTGATATGTAGAAGTACATCGAACCTTCAGATCACTTATTTCTGGTGCAGAGCAGACGCCCAGGAAGTAGGTTAGCAGCAGAGACACTAATCCACCCTGAGGACTCCTGGGATATCTGGCTTCCGAGAAACGTTTTGTTTTGACCTGAAACTCTGCCCCAGAAAGCACCTAGCTGACTCAGCAGGGAGCAGAGCAAAAGTGAAGTTCCTGGAGGATATGAACACTGCTCACAATTGGCACACATTCGCCCTTAGAATGTGGTCTCGGGATGACAACCTCCTTCCCTAAGATCCCGAGGAAGAAGGTACACAGGCTGGGGTGTTCTGAGGCTTCACCCTCTGAAGCACAGATACTGACTGAATTCACTCGGGGAAATAACATGGTTTCCCATTTGCCTCCGAATGCAGTCATCATGGCTTCATCTCCGCATGGCCACAGCCACGCCCCAGGCCCTGACCTCCGCAGGCGAGAGCAGCTGGGACCCTCACGGGCCCTGACTGCACACACCACACAGTCCTCAGGGACTCACAAACGGGGTGCTCAGTCAGGGCCACATGTGATGGTAGCTGAGACCCCACACAGGTGCAGAGAGGCCAGAGTTGAGCTATTGTGAAGCAGAAAAAGCCAAGGCTAGAGAGGTGCTCAGAACTCAGCCCTGTGGTGACCGCCAAGTGTCATGCCAAGGACCCACGCAAGCAGCCCGGGCTCCTCCCTCCTGCCTGGCTGCCTGGCCGGGAGGGCAGCAGAGAGCTGGAGACCACACAGACCCACAGGACCCCCACTCTGCCTCGGCTCCGGCTCTGACCGAGCTGCAGGCGCAGACAGGCCCGCCCCAGCCCAGCGGCTGTCCCAGGGTGACGAGGGCACGGAGGAGAGGGCAGTACGCACCCGCCAAGGCCCCCGGTGCAGTTGCCGTGGATGCAGGGGCTGCTCAGGCACTCGTTCACCTGCGAGTAGCAGCTGGGGTGCAGGGGCCCCTCAGGGCACAGGCAGCGGAAGCCGTTGATGTCATTGACGCAGGTGGCACCCTTGCGGCAGGGGCTGGAGGCACATTCATCGATGTCCACGTTGCACCTGGGGCCTGCGGAGAGGGAGATGCCCGTCATGCCGGGAAAGCTCGGGGCCTTACTGTGTGGGCGCCTTCACCTGCGCAGCGGCAGGGTGGCGACCTGGACACCGAGAACCTTGACTGAGGGGGAAGACGCCCACCAGCACCCAGTGCCGTGGGGTGGCAAGCAGCGTCTGTCTTTTGGTAACAGGCGAAGGTAAGGACATTCTGGAACAGCGCTCTCTGCTCTGGCGTGCATCTCTTCATTTCATCTTAAGACACAGGCAAACCTCGATGGATTCTAAGAGAACATCAGGGCCTCCCTGGTGGCGCAGGGGTTGAGTCTCAGCGCTATCAAGTATCGCCAGCCACTGCAGCACGAGTTCCATCCCCAGCCAGGGAGCTACCCACATGGCGCTGCAGACCTCTCCTGTCTCACCCCCTGCTCCCCACAGCAGTGTATTTCAGTGGATCTGCCTGTTCTGCTCCCCACTCTGTCTCTGGTGAATCCTCTCACCCCCCCCACACCTCTGGCCTCCATCCCAGTTCTTATGTGCATAAATTAAAAAAAAATCAATCTTCAATGAGAACATCAAGTGTCACCAAGGCTGGCTGCTCCTCTGGACACTCCTAGGGACTCAGAAACTTTTCCTATCAATGGTTTATCACAAATGCATTTTCTCAGCTAGTCAACCTCTTACATTTCTACATAAGGCAGATCTCAGTGGGCTGGAATGCTCAGAGAATGGACAATTAATTTAATGCCTAAATTATTTAATAAAGAAAAGCCATTTTCCTTTCATTCTTAACAGTTGTTTTAATCCGTTTTCCGCATCAGGAGAGTACTCTATAACTCTACTGTCCTCTGACAGCTGAGTGCCTCCTAATCTAGACCAGGTCCTCAATGGACAAATGAGTTGCCTCAGATACTTCTTTGAAAAAAGAGGGTCTCAGGACCCCTCATCATGGGCTGTAATGGGTGGGGTCTGGCCCACATTTCATTTTTCAAATGCAGGCAGCTCAACTACTGCATTTTGAGATCTCTGATGCAGGCTATGATTAGTCATCATGTAATAATGTAAAGGATCAGAATATATAAAATTAAAGTGAATCATTTTCCTTTAAAATAAGCCCAAGAGTGTACTTTGGAAAGATGTCTGCTCTAACCTTGACATATATTGCTTTACACTAAATAATGCATGCCAGTTGCATAAGAGTTGTTTTGTAAACTTGAATAACTGAGATCTATCTAAATATTCCTAAAAGATGTAAAATTTTAAAATAACTCAATTCTATAAATGAGGGAGGAAAAGTAACTGCTATGAAGGAATTTATAAATAACAAAAGATACAATGTTGTGATTCAGATAAAAACATGTATTTTTACTTAGGAAAGAGTAACCCTGCATTTAGAACAGGAAATTCCAAATGTAATAGCTACACACCCCTTAAAGGAAGGGTATTAACAACATTTCACCCTCCACTGCACTCCAAGCCACTCTTGGTGGTTTCTGTGGTCAAGACCCATAATTTGTAGTGGTTGCTGTTTTCCTCTCAAACATTTTACTAATAACTTATTATGAAATACTATTTCCTTGGGCTCAACCTCTGAGCACCGAGGAACGGGCCAGAACTCTTCAGTGCAAAGCTGTCCTCAGCCTGCCATCCACCGAAGCAGGAAAGTCATTCTTTCCTTCCTGTCCCTTCATGCGCGCCTCTTCTGACAGCCAAGCCCATGATTTCTTCATTTACTTTGAGAATCCAGAATCAATTTTCAAGCCCTCTTTAACCAAGGTGAAGAAGTTCCCTGTCGGCCTGTAATGTGGTCAGACTCTGCCTCGCCAGCAAGATCCTGTGCGTAAGGAGTTCCCACCTGGTCCTAGAAATGCCCAGAACAAGCTGAGACTCCTTGGTGGTGTCAGTACCTCCTGAGTAAGAAGGTAACCAAGTTCCTTGCCTTACAGATACTCAGCAAGTGAGTGTTTAATGGCTGGAAGCATGTGGCATAGTCCAGACTGGAGAGGCTGGGCCAGATGTTAAAAGCCCCACATGTGAGTCCTGTGCATCCTCTGGCCACTGACTGAGGGCTTCTCCTGCACTAGACACTGTTTTAGGGCCAGCTAAACAGACCAGAGGGGAGGCACCTGCTTTCTGCGAACTCACAGCCCTTGCTCTGGGACCCTGGCTGAGGCCACGGGCACATCTGTTCAGTTGCTTCCCTTGTTTAAATGGGGACAATGAAACTTTCCTATATACTTTTGTTGTTGATAATTTTTAATTCAGATATAGTTCACATATAACATCGTGTAGGTTTAAGGTGTACAGCATGCTGGTTTGATACATCTGTATACAGTGATATGATTACCACCCCAGAGTTAGCTAACACTTCTATCAGGTCACATAGATATGTATACACATATGTGTGTATATATATGTATACATATATACATGTGTATATATATATATATACATAGCTGTATGAGTGTATATATATGTATTTTATTTTTTGCGGTGAGGACAACTGAGATATACTCTTTTAGAAACTTTGAGGTTTATAGTCCATTTCCGTTGACTATACTCACAGTTTTATCACTGGAATTTATTTATCGACGAGTTACAAGTCTGTACCCATAAACATCTCCCCAGTTCCCACACATGCCCCAGCTTGTAGTAACCACTATTCTACTCTTTTCTGTCCAACTTATTTCACTTAGCATAACACCGTGAAGGGCCATCCATGTTGTCACATGTGGCAGGAGTGCCTTCCTTTTTCTTGAGTGAATAATATTCCTCTGTGTGCGCGCATATGTGTGCACGCACTCCTTTACCCATTTATACCCACTGACGAACACCTGAGCTGCTTCGTGTCTTTGCAGTTATAAATCACGCTGTGCTGAGCCTGGGCTGCAGAGACCTTATTTCCACCAGAGATGCCCTCCAGAGTGGATGGCTGGATCACAGGGTGGGTCAATCTCCAGTTTTTTAAGCAACCAGAAATCCTACTTCCTTAGCGACTTCACATCCCCACCAGCTGTGTGTGCGAGCCCCTCGTCTCTGCATCCTCACCACTTTTTGTGATCTCCTGGCTTTCTGGAAACAGCCGTCCCCTCAGAGGCACGTGGGGACACCTGACCGGGGCTTGCTTTGCATCTCTGTGACCAATAGGCCAATAGGCCACCTGGCATCTTCTTTGGAAAAATATCTAACAGACCTTTGACCATTTTTATTGGCTTGTCTTTCTTCTACCCTTCAGTTGTACGAGCTCTTTAGATGCTTCAGACAGTAATCCCTCCTCAGACACATGTACAGCTGCATTTTCTCCCAATCTGGGGGTTCACTCTGCAACGCCCTGCTCCCCGTGCCAGGTAGCTCTTCCCCACAGCTGGCCTTACATTGTTTGCACTCTGTTGCCTGTGCTTCTGCTGACCTTTCCAACATAACTTTCATGGGCTGAAGTGACAGGGTCACAGAATAATGGATACCAGGTGCCATGTGGAACTGAAAATCCGTTTCTAGAACTACCACACAATTTCTTATTTCCCCTATTTAATCAGTAAGTTCATGAAGGATTGAGGGGAACAGAGAATTTAGGCTTTAAAAAAACACTTCCCCTAAATGTCAAATTTGCTATTACAATGGTAAAAAGAAAAGGTAGTAGTAAATAAAGTAAAGGAAATAATAACATGCTTTACATTTATAACTCATGAGTCTATACCACACTCGGCTGCTATTTTTGGAAGTTGACTTTAAAAATGCCCCAAAACAGAGACAGAAACAACTCCTCGAGCAGGGTCACACCCAGCATGCACAACATCTGCTCCTCGGGGATGCCGCAGGCACACCTATGATGCACTTTAGAGTATCTTCAGCCTAGGGCTCCCTTATCGACCTTTCTGCCCCCCCTCCAACCCCCAGCTGAATGTTGAAGAGAGAGAGACTAAGATTCACTGGTATTTAAAAACAAGTAAGGCCAGCCTGAGGCTTGTCTGAAAGAAGCCACAACAGGCACCGAGGCAGGGCACCCAGCAGCTGGAGAGCGCACTGCTCAGGAGACCCGCCCAGGGCAGCATCCGGCCTCCACCAGCCTGGTCTCTTATCAATCCCACAGGAATGGTAATGACAGAGACAATTAAATGAGATTAGGTGCTTAATACCGACCTCAAAATAAGTCCTTAATAAATGGTAGCTATCCTCTCCCTATTACCCATGTAACAAAAATGCACCAGCTGCCCCACCCCACAGGGATCTCCCTGCAGTCAGCTGGCCACCCACCGGCTCCAGCGGCCTTGCAGGGCACCCACAATCACACCAGGCTCAAAAGAGGGTGGTAACATATGGAGGAAGCAGGTCCCCAGCAAGCAAGAGCGGACACCCACCTTGCCGGCCCACTGTCCCCTGACATCATCGTTCAAAGGCTCTGAGGGAAGTTTCCCCACTGGCTGCCAATGCACACACGGTACCCATAAAACGTTAACATTCCCCCAAAAGTGGTGACAACAAGCTGAGCAACTGTAGTCCCACAGAATTTCATCTGTTTGCATAATTTCAAAGACAAAGGATCTAGCCTTCAAAAGCCTGGAGCTGGAATCCCACAGAGGGCCCGCTGGGTGACACAAAGGATGGGACAGACACCAAGGATGAGGACAAGGAAGCCTCCTGATGGTCCCAGTAACACCCAGGGGTGTCAGGAGGGGGCCTTAGGTCTCCTTGGGGGGCCTCTAGCACTTTCTGACTAGAAGGGGTATAAGATAAAGTTATCCACCCCCTTGTATTAATCACTAAAGAGAAAAGAGATGTGTGTGAATGTGTGGGTGTGCATTTTTAGGTGTTTTAGTGGGTTGTAGTTTAAAAAAGAATACTAGCTTTATTTCACTAGTTTTATGTTCACTAGTTTTATTTTAGCCAGTAACTTTCTTTCCCGTAAGGAACAAACAACGCCAGCTGTGTTAGCCAAATGAGGTGGTCCTCCCTGCCCTGGTGCAGCCCACGGTTCCCCCTAAGAGGAAGCACACCCCAAAAAAGCAGTGTTTTCACAGACTCTTACCTTGACTAGCTTTACAGAGACATTCACTACTAAAGTGTCCAAAAGTAATGGTGCCTTTGGGAGCTACACAACCCAAGCACAGCGACAGAAACTCGTGGTCTAAGTAGAAACGGTCTAAAAACTCTCGCTAATTAAGTTTCATGTTAAATTTTTAGGAAGGCGTGCAAGCAGAAAACTGGACCAGAGAAGCATAGAAACACTCTTCTCACCTACAAGAGACAAAGAACTAGCAAACATTTGAAAAATAATCACCCTTGGGATGCCTGTTCCTAAAGGGAGGGGCTGGGGGAGGGACCCCCAGTAAAGAGGAGGCTTACCTGTGAATCCTGGGGAGCAGGCGCAGCTGTAACGGTTAATGCCATCCATGCAGACTCCGTTGGCACAAGGGTTACTGGCACAGTCATCAAAATTGATTTCACAGTTAACACCTGCAGACAGAAGCAACGAGAAACCATCACAATCACCACCTACTGACTCTGCCTGGGCTGCTCGGTGCTGAGAGCTGTCCTGGGGGCCAGCCACGCCGGGCAGAGCCAGGCAGCTTCCTCAAAGAGCAGCCCCCAGGCCCTGGCAGGGGGATCTTGAGGCCCCAACTATTTTGTTAATCATACGGAGCTACTAGTGGCCTTTTGCACTGACGTGGCTTTTGCACCGACACTCCAAAGGCAATGAGGTGGGAGTTCAGCCTCTCAGCAGGGGCGAGAGGAGAACGGGCAGTCTCGTGTTCCAAAGATGAAATTCAAATTTCCACTGGAAAATTACTGTTTTTGAACTTGAGGCCACCATCTTAAGTCTGAAACTGACTGTCACTATCATGGGCTAAAGCTCAGGATAAATCTTAAAAGTCAGGTCCATTCCGCTGGCCTCTCCTCCAGTCGAAGGGCAGAGTTTGGCCTTGTCGAGCTAGACCACGAAGCGGTCCTCACTGTTACCACTGTACTGAAAATGACATTTCACTGTTTATTTAACATGAAGCTAGTTTTGCTTTTGGGGTATCATAGAAGAATGTCTTGGTTGTTTGAAAACTCTGACGCTAGGGAATTTGGAGGCACAATGGGTGATGTAGAAAGACCCTAGACTTACCTTCTTCTACAAACACGCCAAACACACAGCTACATATGGAAAATCCCCCCCTAAAAAAAGTGGTGACTACTAGCTGAGCAACTGTAGTCCCACAATATTTCATCTATTTGTGTAATTTAAAAGAGAAAGGATCTAGCTTTCAACAGTCTGGAGCTGGAATCCCACAGAAGGCCAGTGCTGTGACTCACCCCCAGGTACCCCACACCTCAGCCACCAGGCCCTGTTCCCCAGGCAGCTCGGCTGCTCACAAAGGTTGGAGACACAAGCAAGAGCTGAGTAAGATTCAAGTTACAGGGGCCCCAGAAGAAGGAGGGGGCAGAAAAATCTATTTGAAGACACCGTGGCTAGAAACTCCCTAACCTGGGAAGGAACTAGACATCCAGATGGAGGAAACACAGCAAGTTCCAAGGAAGACGAACCCCAGGGAACACATACCACCTCATTATAAGGTGTTTTAATGGGGGTTCTTTATACCAAAAAAAAAAAAGGAGCAAGAAAATATATGGAAGGGAAAAAAACCCACTTAGTAAGGATAAATTTATAATAAAGCTAGTGGATTAATCACTTATAAAGCTAGTGTGAGGGTTAAATGACAAACGCAGAATTATTTATAATAATTAATTAAAAGGACACAGGATTTAAAAAATATAAAACACGAAGGGGCAGGAAGCACTGCAAGGCTGAAACACTAATGGGGGGCTGTGGCCGACAAACTCCCCTGCTTCCTGCTAATCTCTGTACACCCTTACTGAACAGTCCTCACTGAGTATCTGCAAGATGCTTCTGTGTCCTTCCACTAAATTTTGTTTTATCGTTATCATCTGCTTGTTTTTTTTAAAATAATTCTTCAGGTACTCAAGTTGCTATCTGTGACTTAAAACCCACTTACAACAACTTCCCCTCACAAGACAGAAGGTGTCCACAGAGACTCTCGAAACGTGCCTCACTTTATGGGCTCAGCGGGCAACAAGCCACAGTTAGAACCAGCTACCTGCAAAAAAAAAGCTACCTTTTCCCCACATCCTCATGCAGACCTCGACTTCCTCAACTTCCCAACGTGTATTATAAATGATCTGGGGACTCTCTCTCTAGAACTCAAGAGCTGATTCACAGTGACTAATTAAATGATTCTTTGGCTCAGACTCCTGGCAAATGCCAGGTCTTTTTCCACACATTCCAGACCAAAATTTCTTGATGTTGCCTGCATCTCTCTGCTTTACTTCTCAAAGAGCACAGGGGTGGACATGACAGTTTCCTGAGAAATCCTGAGCCCCCTTCACTGCGCTTGCCACACACCACTCATGTTCCCCTCCTGCCTTTCTCTGTGACGGCTCCTGTCAGGCTGCCTCCCAGGGGAACACACCTGATCACCCAACATGGCAACAACATGCTCTCCGGCCGCCCCTCGCCCAGGCTTCCAGAGCATTTGTTAGAAGGCACCGATAGCAAAGCCTAGAACAGGCCCGGCATTCTCAAGGTAGCCCACAACTGCTTGTAAATCTCTCAAATTTCTTTTCATACTCAATTTCTCATGTCTGGGGACCAGCCCGGAAGCAAATTGCTTTTGGAAGGTTTTACAAAGATCTATTCAGCTCTTTTAGAGAGTTATCTAAACGTGGGGAGGGGGAAGGCATTTTCAACTGTGAAGGCAAGGGATGTTTTTTATATGCCTGAGCAACTCAAAAAGGACTTTGTTTTCAAACTTGGCATGTACCAGGTCCTGGATGGAGACCAGGGCCTTTGACAAGTTTGAAGAAATGGATTTGGAAATAAAATAAAATGAGGGCAGTTAACTACATCCCCACCTTTGCCCCCTCACAGGCCACTCTCCTTCCACTGAAAATGAGTTCTCAGTTCAGGACTCCCTTGCACTGGCGGGATCCCTTCTGACAGAGGCTCACACTGGTTAATCTTCCACTAGTGCGTTTCCTTTGATCTGAGACACAGCACTTCTCTGTCCATTAACCACAGCAGTGACCACAATGATTCCTCAAGTAAGTAGAACAGACTCCAGTGAAACCTGTGAAATGCTGCTGCCTGAGGAAATCATTTCAGAGCCGCTGTGAAGGAGCAGCAGGTGTTCAGCTGAGGCAGGAGACAGCCAGGGAGTGAGTGGCAAATGGCGATGCCGCCTCTAGCGTGTAACGGCTGTGACACGCTGCGGGCTCTTCTACGCCTCGTGCCGTTTCCTGCCCTACGTGACAAAGGCCCGGTGGATGTAGTGACAGAGGAGAGGGTCACGTTAAAGATCTGTGGACTCTGCAACAGAGTCAAACTCCTGGCGGACCGGGAGAGGGGAGGGAGGGAGGTGAGGGGCCTGGAGCAGGTGAAGGGGCTGGCGTCACTAATCTGAGTGGGGCGCGGGGTCAAGAAAAAAAGACCATGGGCCTCCCCGGTGGCGCAGCGATTGAGCGCTGGGTTGCGAAGCTGCCCGCAGCCTCTGTAGCACAGGTTCGATCCCCGGCTGCTCCCCGGCCACCGGAGGAGGGTCCCACATGGCGCGCAGACCTCTCCTGCCGCCCGCTGCTCCCCTCAGCAGTGTACTTCGGTCCTTCTGCCTGCTCTGCTCCTTGCTCTGGCTCTGGTGAATTCTCTCACCCTCCCGCGCTTCTGACTGTACCCAGTGCTTGTATAAATAAGTAAATAAATCTTAAAAAAAAAAAAAAAGACCAATCCAAGCTACCGAGGCAAAAGGGTTTCGATTTTAAATAATTCTGAATTTTTTAAATACCCTGCCTCCTTTCTGCAATGAAGTACATATACCAAAGCGACCCTCTCTAACTTCTCCAGGGGCTCGCCCTCCGCCTCGGAGGCGGTGCTGGCTGGCTCTGGCTGAGAAGCGGGGCTGCCTTCCAGGCCTCGTGGCCTGTGTCCTGAGGAGGAGCGCGAGCGTCCCGAGCACGCTCAGGGAGCACAGACTCAGGTGGCGCTTCGGAGGCATCTACACAGACGTGAGCAGCGAGGAGCGGGGAACGCGGAGGGACTGACCGGAGGTGCCGGGCAGGCAGTTGCACTGGTAGCCGTTGACCAGGTCGATGCAGCGGCCCTCGTTCAGGCAGGGGCTGCTGTAGCACTCGTCGATCTGGTCGCTGCAGATGGCGCCCATGTACCCCGGGTTGCAGATGCAGGTGTAGGAGTCGATCCCGTCCTGGCACTGGCCGTGGTGGCAAGGGTCGGGGTCACAGTTGTTGATGTTCTCCTCACACAGCACACCGGTGAACCCTTGGAAGGGATTTTACAAAGGAGTCTCAAAAGCCAAGGCAGACACTACACACCCGGACACAATCGGGCCACCCATCCGACCCCCGTGCACTCCCGCCGAGAGCGACTCACACTGCAGGCAGCGAGCAGCACACACGGCTGTCTGCGCTGCTCTCCAAGGCAAGCCTGGAGAACTGTGTCTCCTTATGTTACTGTTACATTACTGTGAATTTATGACAGCAAGGCTGTAGAATCCAAGTTCGTCTACATGAGCAACGGTTATATTTCAGTGACTCTTTTTTCTTTTTGTTTTTAAATTATTGATTTTAACCCTAACCCTAATATTGCAGTTACTCTAAATATACCCCTTCATTTCACATGGGCTTCCTTGGGGGGCTCTCAACATTTCTTCTTTACGTGTTTACCCACTGGGTCCCTCTCCCCCCGAAACTAAATGCAGGTTCTGTTTCATCAACCTCACAATCATCCCAGTTTTAAGCTTAGAGGACAGAGAACTCGTCTTAATCCTGCTCAACCCCTCCCATAGCGCATGTATAGTAAGCTCTGAATAAACTCTTGCTGAATAAAATCAATAAACAAGCTGCATTTTAAAGAGTTCCTTCCTCCAGCCCTTCAGCTGACCCATATGAAAATCTCCTGAAAGACTCCACAAGGCCCTTCTCCCTTTTAAACATCAGTTCAAGATTTTTAATCTCTCTCCAGTGAAGGTTGCTCTCCATGAATATAATCTGGCCAGAGAAGGACAAAACCTGGACCTTAACCTGGAACTTCTCTAACCAAAGACAAAGTTTCTGAAACAGGAGGAGGAGGCTGGGTGGGCCCTCTGGCCGGGCCGAGGCTGAGCAGGCTGAAGGAGGGGTCACGTCCCCGTACGGCTGAAACGTGGCCTGTGTTTATTTTTGTGAGTTAGCTTGCTTTTCTGGTATCAGAAAGAAATTATGCTCATGATGTTTAAAATCCTCTAAGAACCCAGTTTCTAAAACAAGAAAACTATCTTGAATTATATTCATAACTCATGTCCCTCTTAAGCAACCGGAAGACAGAAAAATCGGGGAGCCAACTTATCTACTCATGCTCAGGCCTCCCCTGCAGGCTGTGCAGACGCAGAAGTGCAGCAGGGGACTCGGGCTACCCAAGCCCTCCCAGACGAGAAACGAGGCCAGACACCGGCAATGCAGGATATTTATAAACAGATTCTTTACAACTCTAGTAGCAGCCGGGCGAGAGGCCCCGGCGTGCAGGCAGAGCTCAGGTTCCTGTTGGATGCACACACCTGACGCTCACGCAGGGCATCTTCTATGCAGGAGCATTGGCTCTTAGAGCCCTGGCTCTGTCTTCAATCATTTGCCCCAAGAAGCACAGAGACAGGACTCCTGCTGAGACGCCCCAACGAAAACCAGCTTTCATCGGGAATTTTTCCCTTTCCCAAAGGAAAAATGTGAAGCCAGCTGGAAGCTTATCGCTGCCAAAATCTGGCCCCGAAAGACACAGACACCAAAAGGAAGTGTCGAGGCCAGACGAGCGCTGGGGCAGGGAGGACGAAGATGCCCCCGAGGAGGAGCGAGGGCAGCGAGGAAAAGCTTAGTAGACCCACGCGCTGGGAGAAACTCCCTCTGCACACACAGCAGCATCCCCCACCTCGCCAGTGAGAAGGCCCTGTGCACCCACGGCGTAGCAGGTGGGGCTCTCACCTGTGGCACACTGGCATTCATATCCGTTGGGGTGGTCGATGCACTTGGCCCCGTTCAGGCAGGGGGTGCTGGAGCAGTCGTCGATGTCAATCTGGCAAACTGAGCCGGTGAAACCTTGGGGGGCACAGTGGTGGCACGAGTAAGAAGGCTGCCTGCCGCCCTGCACTCGCAAGTACCATGCGCGAGGGGCTGGGGCAGGTGACCAGCAGGGTGTACCCTGGTGGGTCAGCAAAGGTAAGACTATTCTCCATGCTGCGGTATTTGCAAATACCATGCCCCCCAGGGAGCTGGGGTCGCCGGGCAGAGCTCGGCATGTCCGGGGGGCCTGTGTACGTCTCTGCCCAGCGTTGATTTCTCTTCCAGCTAAGCCAGGACTGAATGGTTACGGAGCTTCACACATGTGGCTCTGAGGAACTGGGACCTTGTCTCTAAAGAAACAGCAAGGGAGGCCGCAGTCTAAGGCAAAAACTTTGGCACGTCTTCAACAACAGCTTAGGGGAGCGAAAGGAGAGAGAGCATTTTCCTTGGGAAAAAAATGGACTTGTTTTGTCTGTTTCTGGACCCAAGGGTGAAAAGCCTAAAAATAATCATCTCGGAGGGGGGTTTCAAGAATATGACCCACAGGGAAAAAATAAAACCCTGAATAGCCGTAACTAAGGCTTCTGTGAGGCACGAACCCTCTGAAATATACACACAGACAGAGAGGTCACAGGCCATTCAGAACAGAATCAGACTTCTGGCCACAAAGGATTTGGAAGATTCCTGGCCGAAACAAACCCCGTTCTGTACACACGCACTCTTCCCTGGCGCTCCCTGGAATGACTTCCTCATGCGGAGCCCACACACATGCTCTCCTGCTCCGCTTCCTGCGGCCAGTTTGTGCTTTCAAAGAAAACAGGGGCAGGCGGTGGGCACTTACCAGGCGGGCACAGGCACTGGAAACGGTTGACTTTATCCACACACTGCCCGTTGTTCACACAAGGGTTGCTCTGACATTCGTTGATCTCCAGCTCACAATGCACACCTTTGAAACCTGAACAAGACGGACCACACAGGCGGCTTAGAGAAACAAAAAGGCGCAGTCCAGCCAGGAAAGCACAGCTGCAGGGACAGCCGCCCTACGAGAGTGGACGCCTCCGCGGCGGGGATGGGGCCTGCACCCTGGCGGGAAGCTGCCGCTACGGCCCCACGGGGCCAGGAGGCCGTGGAGCGTCTGGCCCTGAGGCCAAGGGGAGAGGTCATGCCCACAATCATGCCGTGATCCGGCAAGACAATAGGCTGCCCAGATGGACTTTGCCTCCAGGACGCTGCCAACAGGTCCCAGGACTCCTAATCCACGTTCCCAAGTAACAGCTGATTCAGAGATCCTGCTGTTCTCAGGGTGCAGCCAGGGCTAGGGGGAACCCCAAGGCGAGAGCAGCCAGCACCCAATCAGGCAAAGCAGCCTTGTAGCCTCGTGTTCAGCTGGGTTTACTGTGTCCACTGAGGAGTCCCAAGATGCCTCCAGAGGTCAGACTACATGCGCCAACCCCACTGGGGGCGGCAGGTTTCTATGCAACTGTGGGTAAACGAGTTTGGTAAGTGGGTCGGCAGGGGATGTTTAGTATACCAGGGGGCAGGAAAACATTACTTTCAGGATTGTTATGGTAAATCCATTTTTAAATCAAGGAAAGGTTACATGGAAACAACAGCTTCTTCCAACTTTCCCTTACATGTATGTGAATTTCGACAACAGGAGTGGTATGATTTGGTCCCCAGAGCTCTAAGAATTCTAGCCCTGTCTTATACAGGGAGGGCCCCTTGGCCCGACCGTCACCACGCGGCTGGATGCTGGTGGAGCTCACGGAGGCGCCGCCTATCTCAAGGGCTCCGCACAGTGACGCCAGCACCACCTGCCCCGCGTGGGCCCAGTACCTGGCATGCAGAGACAGGTGAAGCCGCCGATCTTGTCCAGACAGGTAGCGTCATTCTGGCAGGGGTCCGAGTGGCATTCGTTGATGTCCATCTCGCACCGGGGCCCCGCATAGCCCCTCAGACACTCGCAGTGGAAGGCGCCGTCGGTGTTCACGCACTTCCCTGCATGCTCGCAAGGGTTGCTGTTGGCTGGAAGACAGAAGCGCTCGTTACAGGGGAAAGCACTGGGTGGAGCTCACACAGGTGTGGACTGCAGCGAAGGCTGACGTTACAGTCTCAACGCCAGGCCTGCAGCAGACCGGCTCCCAGGTCCCCATTTTCTGCCTTTAAAAATAAATGTACAAATAAGACTTGCTTAATCTCCACTCCAGGGCCTCTGGTCCTCTCTCACCCTGGCGATAATCCAGGGCTTGAAGAAGAATCAGTCCATGCATTTCAGTTCCCAGAACAGAATCCACGGCTGTGCCAACAGGTTAGTGTCAGAGAGTGGGATGCAGCCGGAGAGGCCTGAGGCTGGGGAACGTGCCCCCTGGGTAAAGCCGCCTCACTTGAGTGCCCGCTGAGCCTGACCTCAGGGGAGGGGCGGGGGCTGGTCTTACCCATGGCGCACTCGTCCACGTCCTCCGTGCAGTCGGCCCCTTTGTAGCCCTGCGGGCAGGTGCAGATATACTGCCCGTTCAGGGGGTTGGTGTCGCACAGCGCCCCCTTGTGGCAAGGATTGCTGATGCAGGCATCGTCCAGATGACATAAGAGACCTTCAAGGGGTGGGGGGGTTAGAAAGAGGGAGGGTAAGGACAAAGGGAAGATGTCCCTCACTTGGAAAAGCATTTTCTCTTTATGGGAGAGGAAATACCTCACGATTGGCTCATCAAAATCCAATATGGTGATCAGAGGCAACTTCCCCGTCCCTGATCTTATTTAGGGTCACGCGGCCAGCCCAGAGCAAGGAGCTTCTGCAGACCAGCCTCGTGTCTGAGCCTGAACCCTCAGTTAGAGCCCTCCTCCAGGGCAGGGCGCTTACAGGCCACCAAGGACATCGTTGGATAACGGAGAGAGGAAAATGGAAATCTCTCTCCAATAGTTCTGCCAGTCGTAGGATGTTAATAATGGATGCCCAGTTCCACCTGAATTTCATACAAATGACAAATACTGCTTTGCCACATGTTTCAAAAATTGCAATCATCATGTATTTTATTTGACAACCTACTTTCCCCAATCAGGGACCAGATGGTCCCTTGGGGTCGCCAGCATCCCACTAGCCTCACAAAAGAACAAGGAGTCGCCCATCCTCCGCCTGCACCAGGGCAGCCACTCAACACCTTAACATCCCCGGGTCTGGTGCCCACAGGCCCCCGGAGATTGTCAGGCCCCAGCTCTCCGGGGTTCACCCAGGAACTGGATTTTCCAGTCTGCAATTAACTTCAGAGCAGGTAACTAGGGTTTCTTCTACAGAGTTGGAGGCGGGGCCTTTGCAAAGACATTAAGTGTAAGGACGTTTCAAAACTGATAGGAACAAAGCCCTCGGCCACGCTATCGTCTTCCATCTCCCATCTCTCCACGCCTAGAACTGGGCGCTGCTAGACTGCAAGACCTTACAGAGATGTTAACGTGTATGTGGTGAAAATCCTCCCTCAAAGGGGCATCTCTGCAGACAGCTGAGCTGGGGTGTGCTTAAGTGCTTCTCTCCTGACAACGCCCGAGTCAACGGGTCATTTCTTGTCAGCGTGAAGTCCCTAAATCCGTACACTGGCTATGTTGTCTCAGTTTCTGAGAAGTCGCTCTTCATTGTTGAGGTAACGCTTCTGCCTAACATCCTGAAGAGGGCTTAGAGGCAGCAGCTGGGGGGATGAAAAACTGAGGAGCATAGAATTGTGACTCAAAAGTCCTAAGGGAGAAGCAGACCGATGCTCACATGGCTCTGGCTGGTGTGGCCATTCCAGCAAGGTCCGGACGGACGCCCTACGGGGGCCAGTTAAGAGGGCACTCTATGGGCTGAGGGAGGCAGAGGCCCTGCATGCGCTCAGCGCCTCCCCTGAACACCGCGGCCCGCCCTGGGTCCTCACCTGCCTTCCCTTCGGGGCACATGCAGGAGAAGGAGGCCACGCGGTCGATGCAGGTGGAGCCCGGGGTGCAGGAGGCGAAGGCGCAGTCGTCGATGTTCTCGCTGCAGTCATCTCCGCTCCAGCCGTTGACGCACACGCAGCCGTAGTCTCCGTTGCGGTTGGTGCAGGTGCCGCCGTTCTGGCAGGCGTTGGGCTGCAGCAGGCACTCGTCCACATCCTCCGTGCAGAACTGGCCTTTGGGGACAGGGGGACCTCTGATTAGGGCTCTGAGTCCCAGAAGCCCCAGGCGGACCTTTAGGCGGCCTCGGCCCTCCTGCAGCCTGTGAGGGCGATGCCCAGAGACCAACCCCTTCAGGGCCCGGAGGACACTTATTCCAGGCAAATAATATAAAAAAGAATAGAAGTTTTAATGCCTAAAAGCTCCGACAACGTGAGCATTTAGCCGAGGTATCCGTGAGAAGACAGGACTCGTGGGGCCCTTGATTTCGCGACACTCCTGAGACAGTGAATGGGAAGCGTAAAGGGACAAACGAGGAAAAGAGGAGCCTGGGTGTGGAGCTGGGGGGCAGCTCCTCTCAGCCTCCCGGCGCGACACGAGACGGCGCTGCTGGGAGACCTGGCAGCGGGCACAGGTGCGTCCGCCGTGAGCGCCCGGGAGGACGTGGACTTGTGGAGGGAGGGCAGGAGTGGAGCCAACATAACAGGACAAGGTGAAAAGATCCACTGGCTCCGCTGAGCAAGAGCAAACGAAGGTGAGTGACACGAGGCCAGCTCCACGGCGGGTGACGGCGTGTGCGAAGCCTCTGGGCCCGAAGGAACACGCGTGTTTTCAACCCACGAGTGGGGAGTTTAACAAGCAGTTCAGTGTGAGGACGTGGAAGCAGTAAGACAAGCTGACGAATGGGTCTCCTGGGGGTCTTTTCACAGCAGTGTAGCCAGCTATCAGAGGGTGCTCACATTCAGATCACCCCAAGTCCCTAAAACACAACCGGACCGGACACGTGGTGGAAACACAAAACCCTCCAGGCGGCCTTAATTCTCTGACCTGACATGACGGGTCACCCCTTTTTCCCGCCTGTCCGTGCCCCACGCCCACAAGTCTGCACGCCTGTCTCCCAGCACCTGGCCGCAAGCAGCCGTGTCCCACCATGCACCTGCTGCGTCCCCAGCCAAGGCCCCAAGGCTGCCGCGCGGGACGGGGCACGAGCGTGCCTGGAGCCTGTCTGGAAGCTGTGCTCGACAGGCCCCCTCTGCGCCCCCACCTCTCCCCACCTCACCCCTGTATTCCATGAGAAGTCATCTTCTCTACCTGACCAGGCCCTTCTGGCCCAGCCCTTCGGGCCAGTTACCCCACTGCGCCTCTTTTCCAAAATTGTGGGCCGGGGTCTCTCTGCCCCCCTGTGAACCGGAAGGAGAGAGGTTGGTCTACAGAGAACGCGTCAGGGAGAATCAGAAATGCACAGGAGAGAATATGGTGGCCTCCAAGTCACTGATTCCAGTTACTTCTGAATCCCAAATGCTCCCAAGGCAGGCATGGGCTGAGTCATTCTGAGAGAGGTGCCTTCCAGTAGGTGGCCCTAATTGTAGGTGGGGATCAGTCCATTCCAATCCACAGCATTAGTTAATAGAAGAGGATGAGTAAGCGCTGGCAGCCACTCTCCCCAAGGCAAATGATGATGTTATGATCACGCTGCTCCTTGCTGTGTTAGCAGAAACACTACCTCCAAGTAAAGCCGGGTGTGTTGCCGTGAAATACAGCTGCAGTTAGAAATGAAAAGATAACCAGCGAGTCGATGAAGAACTGCTATAACCTAGAAATTGCTAAGAATCTCGTCTCTGACGCTTACGCTAACTCCAACATCTATGCCACCCTCCAACCAAACTCACTGGCTGAATGGGAGCAATTATTTTTTGCTCACAAAAAATATACATATTATTTTTATTTTTAACAAGTTCTGAAATGACTGGGTATAAGACACTGTGTATTTAGAGGGCTCTTTCATGCATTACACATTGTAATACCCTGACACGCGATATTTTAAGTGTCAGTCTAGGTAAATAAAGCAATGCCTGGGATGGAAATGTGTGCTCCTGGGAAAGTAAACCAAGAGCCGCTGATTGCCAATATGAATCAGGCACTGAGCTCGTGGGATCACAAAGATTCTCTTTTATATTGTTGGAACAGACTCGGAGAAGAAAATTAACTCCCCTAGTGTGGGCGAGGAGTGAGGGAGACCAGAGATTTCAGTAAGAACTGGCTACCTCTAAAATTGTGAACAAAGCCTTGAGGTGTGAACCTCACTCACCACGTGGGAACGCCTGCACGCAGGCTTGGGGAGGGTGAGATTAAAATTACGACTCGTGATCAGATTCCTGGGAAAATTCATGACTTCAAATCACTATCCAAACATCAAACATTCGCCCTGGTTTTAACAAGTTTGGTTTTGAAGATCAGACACTTTCAGGTGACCCCTCAGGACTGCTATCTGCTAGATGCTGTTAGAGAAATCAGATCCAGAGCATCGAAAGCATGCTGACTTATACTTAGTTTTCTGCAAAATGCATCATTTTTCTCAAAGGTCTAGGCACATTTCTCCAGAACATTCCTTCTCAAGTTCATTTCCTCCCCTTTCCAATACTATCACTCAATTTTAAAAATCAGGATGAAGCAAACGGTAACCAGGACGCGCTACCAAAACTTGTCGCTTGTTTTGCTTTTTCCAAAACTCCCAGCACAGAGTCTGCATCTCGCTGTCCTTCCTCCAGTCCCTCCCAGCCCCGGAGAGGCCAACACAGAAGCCGACATAAGAAATGTCAGGCCAGGACGGGTGACCTCCCCAAGGCACTTTGATCAACTAGTGTCTCAGAGCAACCATGAAGGCAGACATGTGGAACTATGAAAGGACACCCTGGGCAGAAACAAAGAAAGGCAGAGGGTCATTGAAAACTAAAACAGGGCAATCTCTGGGTGATCTGCCAGGTGACTGGGCGCACTGTCCCAGATCACTCTGCTTCTTCCATACCCCCGGCAAGAACCCATCAGCCCTGGCCTGGGGGCGGCTTGCTGAGGGCGGCAGGGTTAGGTCTTCAGGATACCAAAACAATACAAGGTATTCTTTGGTGGGGCTTAGGAGGGAGCTCATTTGAGACTTTGATTTGTCAAGCACAGGAGAGCTTCCTGCACCTGCTCACAGATACAGGAAGACATGATCAAAGACGTGGGTGGAGGTGAGTCAGCCAGCAGAAGACAGGAGGGACTCCAACCAAATGATTCTGTAGCAGGGAGACGGAGCACTAAGTTACGAGCGACCTAACACATAAAAGTTTTGTTGAAAAGGGAGAGCTGTGCTGTCTCCGTGCCCGACACCAAGCTACTAAACCTTCACTCCAAACAAGCCTCCGCATGTACCGTCATCTGTCAACACACAAACTTCACTGGCAACGCCCAAAACATATTGCACAAAGCGCAGTTAGGCAAGCTTTTGAGGGATCCATTAGGCTCCCTAGCGATTCCACCTGCCAGGTATCACAGGCCACGGGCCACCTGGCATCAGGGTTAATGGGGCAGGCTACTGGGCGCTTACACCCCCTCAGTGCAGAAGAGAAGATAAAAGACTTGTTTTTCTTTCTTTTTTTTAAAGAAACTACCTTCTCTGTGGCTGTCGCGAGACCAGACTTGGTATGAGATGCCAAACCAGCATCACCTGTAGCTGCTGATGGTCTTTCAGGGGATAGTTTTTGCATCATAAATATATCTTGGTTTTCACAGCTGTCGCAAGGGCGCACCACTGGTCTCGCAAACACTGCATTCTCCCCGCCCCGTGTGTGCTGTGCGCTCCACCTGCAGTGTGCGTCCCCTCTGACTTCCACGGTGATTTCTCAAGCTCTGGACTTCTGCTTTCACTTAAGCAAGATCTCCAAGTTCACATCTCCCCATTTTTTCCATCTATTCAATTAAATCCACTCTCCCACTTATCACAAATTGTGACGTCGTAGGTGATGACTCTTTGCAGGCTCTGCCCCAGCGACCAGAGCTCCGGGGGCAGGGCTGTCTCTGCCACTGGCCTCAGCGCACGCATCAGGCGTGCACCGGACACTCAGCAGCGGCGCTGAACAGACCTCAGACTGGACACCTTAGAGCTACTCTCACGTGCTCACTTCACAGGTAAGAAAGTGAGGCCAGAGGGTGAGTGACTTGCCACATCCGCACCACTAGCTGCAAGAAAAGTTAGAAACAGGTAAAGCTAAAAAACGGAAATCGTCAGGTACAGAAACAGACACTGGGGTGTGAGAGCTCGGCAGGTCAAGTTAAGTCTTCGAAGCAGGCAGGGAAATCTGAGCTGAGTGTTGGGGACAGGCGGGGTGGAGAGACACAGACGAGGGGCTGCCTCAGCGCTGCAACAGAGGAGGCGTGACACACGGCTGTAGTCACCTGAGTAGGGATGCAGTCCCGACTTTATAGGGATGGGGTCACACCCACGCTGAGCTCCCCTGTGGTGGTAAAGCCGTGAGGGGGATGGGCGCCCTGGGCAGTGGACACACAGACCCAGTGGTCTGTGCTGAAATGGAACCCACCCATGACCCGGGTGTCGTCAGCTCCAAGACCAGCCCCTGAGCCCTGGACCGTGACAAAGACCCCATTTTATGAGCACAGTGGAATACAACACCTCGTTATGACCCCTCCCGGTACGCAAACAAACCATCAATCTGAGGGGAGTTACAAGCAACTGGGGAGTGAGAGGGGAGGAGAGAAGGGAACAGAAAGGCTCGCTGAGCCTTGGCCCCTTGGAAAGAAGCTCTCGCCCTTCCTGGTCCTCTCAACTGTGAAGTGTGTGGGAAAAACTTCTACCACATCAACGGCCCTGCTAAGGGTCAACTCTTGTTGCAACAACAATCCCCATATGAAGAACATGTAAAAAATGAGCTTGGCTGGCCTTTGCCCTGACCCTACTACCTCTTCTTTCACGGTAAAACCAAGACAACCCCACCTCCAATATCGCCTCCTGGCCAACGCCCCAAGCTCCTGGGCTGGAGAGTCCCACCTTCCTCCATCTCCCCACATCACAGCAGCGCGGCCGTGCGCCCTCTGGCCTCCTCCCGGATGAACAGGAGATTTTCCATCTCGCTGCTGAAGTGTCAGGGCAGAGGGCAAGCCTGGCTGCTCAGGGCCCGCTGGGAGGGGAGCGGGCGGAGCCAGCCTGCAGAAACTCTGGCGCCCACGGGTCTGCGGCGAG